ATCATAAATTACATGAATGTAGTCGAATTTGGATTGTTTTCAGGTTGATTACTTTTAATGATGTTCATGAGAGTGTTAATGTAGATTACTATTTTTCTTGGGTAAATACCTCAAGATAAAATTTTTAGGTCACATGGTGAAATCATGTTTAATGGAATGAGATTGCTCTGGATAATTTATGTCTTTGATGATACCTTGGTGTGGCTTCTTTGTGTATCCAGTCCTGTCATCTCATAATTTTTATTTGCATTACTTGGATAACTAAATATTTTTATCATTGTTATTTGTTATTTAAATATCTTGTTTTGTGAAATTCCTATTCAAATATTCTCCCTACTAAGTTGTGTAAGAATGTTTCCATATTCAGAATCCAAATCTTGCTTCACATGCCTTATTTTCCAAATGCTATTTGTCTTTTCATTTTCTTAATGATATTTTAAAGGACACATATTTTAATATTGACATCTAATCAATTGTTTTTCTTTTGTTTGTTCTTTTTTAATATCTATCCAAGAAGTCCTTGCCCATTCTAAGTCTATGATAAAATTTCCCTATATTCTAGCAGTTTTCTATTAGGCCTGTTATCATTTCATTTATGTGTAGGTTAGGATGGGGTTGAACTTAGAGTTTTTATATTTAAAAAATCATTTGCTTTGGCAATATTTGTTAAGAAGAATTACATTTATTTACCAAATAATATAGGAGCTTTTATTAAAAATCAATTAACTCTAGATGTTATATTTATGGATTCATTTTACTCATTACTATTCCACCTAAATTATTGTAACTTTAGAATAATTCTTAACTATCAGGTCATATACATTCTTCATCTTTGTTTTATAATATTATTTGACAATTCTGTATCACTTAAGCATCAATAAGCTCAGAATTTGTATGATGATTGCTTTAAGTTTGGAGAAAGGCACATTGATTCCAAGGCACATGGTCTCCACTTTTCTTAGGAATTATTTCAGCAATTACTTCAGGAATTTCTTTCAGCAATTATTAATAATTTCCAGTATTAAGATCTTACAGAATTTCGGGGCTCAGAAGTTGGCTCAGTGGTAGATCGCTTGCCTTGCATGCCTGAGGCCCTGGGTTCGATTACTCAGCACCACATAAGCAAAAAGAAAAAAGCTGGAAGCGGTGCTGTGGCTCAAGTGGTAGAGCGCTAGCCTTGAGCTGAAGAGCTGAGGGACAGCACCCAGGCCAAGTTCAGGCCCCACGACTGGACCCAAAAAAAAAAAAAAAGATCTTACAGAATTTTCACTAGATTTATCTCAAAGTGGGTATTTATTCTTGGATATTCTAACTTTTTTGTTTTATTTTAATTTGTTTCTAATATAAGAAATCAAACTAACTTTTATACGTACTTTATAACAGTCTTTCCATAATTATTCTTATTTGAAATAGATCCCTTTTGCTTAATTTTATTTTCTCAGTGACATCACCATAACACAATTGTTCTATTTGTAAAAATATCTTAAACATACTTGAGCACTAATAATTTGTAATAGTATAAACAGTTGTCTACCTTAAATATCCTTTTTTTCACTTCTCTAGGAAGATTTAATTTTTGTCTGCAATTCATGTGAAAACTTCCAAGAAAATAAGTTTTCAGATATTGTTTGTCTATAATGCTAAAAATGAAATACATGATTCTAGTGCTATTTAATTATGTGATTAACACAAAATTGTACATATGATGAGAATTTTATATTGATTACTCTGAAATACTGTAGTGTGGGTAATATGCAAGTTTTTATGTTCTGATTTTTGAGCCAGAGATTTCCAATCTTGACCGTTTCTTGTTATCTCCTGGCTATATGTGATAAATATTGATGTCCAGGTTCCACTCTAAAAGTAATGGGATTTAGCTGGATGTGGGATATGTTTGTGTAAAGAAATTTTCAGTTTTTCCATGTGATTTTTAATGTGCAATATATTTGAAAAAGCCATATTAGTGTTTACTCGTATAGTTTTATTATAATTCATATAACACACATAATTGTGCACATTGTACATAATAATACAATTATCATCAAGAAAGATTTTAAATAAAGAACAATGTTACTTTTGCATTTATAAATTTACAATTAGTAAGATATATCCCTAATTAAGGAACTGGGAAATAAATGAGTATTCTCATGTGTAAAGCAAGTAATATTCCCCAATATCATTTCATTGTGTCTAAATTAGAAGTTTAAGCAGTAAGTCCTAACTTCCTCTTTTTAAGGAATATATGCAAACCTCTTTGAGATGTAAAGACAATGCCAGTGTGTTAATAGGGTAAAAAATAGAAAAACAAATTTAAGTTAAATATACTATACTTAATATAAATTGTTAATTTTATAAAGGTACAAGGAATTTATTCCACCCAGGCCTACATTTTCAGTTGTCAGAATGAATCTGATATTGTTTACATTTACATACTCTAATGCATAATATAAAATAATATAGCAAGTTATGATTACCCACAGTAATAATAGAATTGCTAACACAAAATGATCATCTGAATTAATACAAAAATTAAAATACAAGTATCATATATTTAATGATCATTGTTGAAATCTCAATAATTGTAAAAATATTTCCTGAATAGCTAAGATATACAGAATGCTTTTTTAAGCCAATCAAAACACCTAAAGTTAAATAAAAACACAGAAAACAATGATATAATAAAAAGTACAGCACCCTAGGTATGACATAAGTTAGGTTCTAAAAATATGTTAGCAGGACGGAAGGAAAAAGATAAGAGGGAAATACAGGCAGTATTTAAATAAATGTATTCACAATATATCATAATAATGTTATTAGTAAAATGTTTCTAGAATAACAACTGTGTATAAATTCCTCTTTGGTTACTAAACACCTTTGTATTTAATTGGAAAATTTAGTGAAACTCTTCATTAGTTATTTTTCTCCCTTATTTAATTAAATGTAATAGTAACCACTAAGGATATTATGTGAGTTCAGACTATTCATCTTTATGGAAATTTATAGCCAGGAGCTGGAGTTATACCTCTATATATTTTCACTATTAAAATTTCATAATTATGGCTGAATCCATTTTGCTTTCTTTATTTGAGCATTAAATGTCAGTGATGCATTTTGAAGTACGGAGTACCAACAAAAATCTGAGGCCTTACTGGTAATCTGTTATACCTGAGGAGGAATGGATTTACAAATATGAGAAGGAAATGCATATAATTTGTGCATTGATGTTTGTAGGTTTCTTATTATTTTAAATTATCTTTAAGTAAAATAGCATGTTCTTTTTCAAGGAGTTTACATATAGAATTAATTTTGATCAGCTTTATCACCCTTTTTAGACCAACCCCTTCTGTTACTTTTCTTAATTTTGTGGTATAGATCATGAATTACTGCCTGCATTCACCCATATCCCCACGTTATTTGTTTTCCCCTCTTGCTTTGGCCCTACCCCCACTTTCTTGTACGTACCCATTTTCTGGTGCTATTTTGGTGGGCTTTGACCTAGTCTTTCTAAAAAATTGTACTATTTGAGCTCTCCATGAAGTCCATTATCCTTCAGTTAATCCATATGTAAACACATAAATACCACCCAACACATTTACTTATAGATTTACAGGTACAGTCTAGCCATTCCAAATGAGGGAAAACATATATATCTGGATCTAGATAACTTTGTTCAAGTCTCCATTTTCTTACAAATTCTGCATTATTATTCTTTCTAATACATGAGTAAAATTGTGTTGTATGAATTACATTTTTTTGATCCATTCATCCATTTAGGGGAACATCTGGGTTGATTCCATATCATGACTATGGTGAAAAGTAATACAATAAACATGGTTGTGTCGGTGGCTTTACTATAACCTTCTTGATATTCTATTGGGTAAAGTTCATAATATCATAATTATTTTGATCCTTTCTATTCAACAAGCTTCATAGATCATGGTCAATATTATTAAAATTCAGCTTTCAAAAAACATAAACCTGTGAAATCTCAATTCTCAAGATAGCAAAATTTCCCAGTGATTTATATACATGCATCTATAAGAAGCACTATCATAGACTATGTGTAATTAGATTTTACTATGATAGAAATTTAGAAAATTATGATTTAAACATTCAATAAGAACTTACTGCGTGAGTTATATTTTGGACTCATATGGCAAAAAGTTAGATTTGTTGTGAAAATTACTAAATCAGGAATAAAAACACTTTTGACTGTGGCATTATTTGCATAAACTTCAACTTCTAAATGTAGATTTTCTGTTTTATTAAATGCAAGAGTATTGTCAATACTTATCATAAATATTACATTAGAGATAAGTCTCAAACATAGGTGACCTAAAAATACCATAGAAAGTTCTTCATGTGCTTATATGTACATACACCAAATTAATTATTTGTTTACATTTGGTCCCCATTCCCAAGAGATCTCATTGTGTTTAGGCACATATCCTAAAACTTATAAAATATCTGAATCTTAAGCCTTACTTTGGGTAAGATAAACTCAAAAAAATTTAACCTACAAGTTTGTGAATTAGTAATGGCTAACAATAGGTAGATTATGAATGAATGTTTCTTAGGAAGTTTTTAAAATGACAAACCCAGAATTTAATTAATAATAAATTATTTCTGTAACTTTATAGAAGAAACTAGTAGAAGGCTAGGGATGTTCTACAAAATAGAAAAATAGCTGGGAGTCATTCTGACCTTTTATTTTTGGTTACTGATTTATTTTGGCTTTGTTTAGGTATCTCATCAGTTGCTTCCTAATGGTCTATGATGAATGCATGGCCAATAACAACATAAAAGGAAGCAGAATAATTCTCAGCACTTGCCTTCAATTTCCCTAGGAATTGTTTGTCAGTAATTTAACTAAAATCTTATAAAATGTTATACACCATAGATTAGGTAGAGCATTTAGAATTTTGTGGGGGATGATGTCACAGAATAATGATGCAAACTCTGCTTTGTGTTGTTGGGTCTCTTTTTTCTTTCTCTTACAGATAAAAAGACTTGTGGACCTCATGAATTCCAGTGTAAAAACAACAACTGTATTCCAGATCACTGGCGGTGTGATAGTCAGAATGACTGCAGTGATAACTCCGATGAAGAAAATTGCAGTGAGTAGCCTTTGCCTAGTAACCTTGTAGACTTGACAGCCCATTCAATAAGCAGGATGGCAATTTTTATTTCAGTGAAGGCAAAAAATTTCACCTCTCTGTCCTGCAGCTCACATTTTTATACATATATTCACATTTGAACAAGAATATTCAGACTAAATTGACCTGAATCTCAAAGGGTAGAATTATTGAAATGTTCATCCTGGGAGTTATTTTCTTTCAGTTCTCAGAATTGGTATGAAAGTATCATGAGGTTTAATGCAACCCATTAGTATGCAATGAAGGAAGCCCTAGATGCACGTTCTTACAATGAGCTGAATGATGTGGAGACAGCACAAAACATCTCATTCTTTAATGGATGGTATTCATTTCGTTTCAGTCTCAAATCCTTTTACACTACAAATTCACCCAAGAGCATCTCTCAGTGAATTATCATTTATTCCCGCTGGAGTGGTGAACAGCATATATATTCAAGATGCTTTTTCCCCCATGAAAATAGAATAACATCATTATCATCTGACTCTTGCATTTTGAATAATAAATTTTAAGCCAATAACAATGCAACATTTTTACTTTCTGAAAATGAATGTCACTATGTAAAATTGGGAGAGAGTGTCTGTGTTCTGATATTGCTTGTTTTTAATTTTATACATTGCATTGAAAACAGAGAAATTTATAGTGCTGTTTGAAATTATATACTCAAATTCCATTTGTTAAAAAGTATTTTTGCTGTTTCCTAAAAGGATTCTTGCAGATTTATAGCAATAACATCTGTCCTTAACATCTCATTGGACCAAGAGTATGTATTTTCCAGAAGCTAAAGGATTAAATATACATAGCACTTATATGAGGCACTAATTGATTGAATGAAATACTTCATAAACCTGTTCATACTTAACTTGAAAGCCCTGAATTTATGTTTTCAATAACATTCTAGATTGCTTTGTGTTTGAGCTTCCTGGGGCTTGGACTGAAGTCCTGGGTGCTTTCCTTGAGCGTTTTCGTGCTAGCACTCTACCACTTGTTGGGCTGGTTTGGAACTGAAATCCTCAGCTCTCACTCTCCTGAGTGGGTAAGATTACAGACAGCAGCCACTTTCACCGAGCTATAATTTTCCTTTCTTAATCTGACCTGTGTTAGAGAAATAAACACATGAAGTATGAAACCTCTGGGTTATAGAATAGTAAAAACATGCAACCTTTTAAAGTGTCTTTAAACACAGATATCATCCAACTCATCATAATTTTAGAAAGATAGAGAATGTTACAGAAAATCATAAAGTTTTTACATTTCTGTAATCAGCAATTGAATAAAACTTTGACACAGTTTCTCCATCTTTCCATTGATTAAATGCATATTTGATAAAATGATAGTGGTTGTAATAAGTGCCCAAGAAACTTGTATAAAGTTTGTTTATTTCTATAACACAGCTTACAAATAGATATCTGCTTAACCTAGTTTTGGTATATTTAGTATTTTCCTATAGATGCTTAAGAGCAGATGGGCTATAAAAGATTGATATTGAGAACAGCAGAGCGTGTATGAGACTGAGACACTGGACACTTACTCTGGGTGAACTTTGATTCAAGTGAGAAATAGAAACTGTACAATAAGTTAGACTTCAGTTATAATAAGTAATATGTAGATAGATAGATATTATATAAAAGTAAATAAATATTATGTGGGAGAGTGAAGGGTTGAGAGAATCTAATTCAGTCTACTGAGGTTTCCTAAGTGGCTGAGCTTCACTGTGCTGACATCTGAAATCAGTCTTTGGAAAAAGAATGCACGGAGAAGGAACACTGGCTCTCACTTGTCTCAGTGGAAACTAATAAATCATTGTAGCCACACAGCCCTTAAGAAAAAGCAAGGGAAGTAGCTGCAGTATCAAGCACTGCAATATCAAGTAGGCATTTATGTGTGGTTCTTTTCATTTCTATTCATTCTGAGCTTGTTGCCTTAGACAAGAGATATTGATGAAACTGCAGAGGAGGGATAACAGTGAGCAAACAATAATCTATCTATACTACAGTTGTGACATGGAAGGGTGAAAGGTGTGTACATGTTAGTGAGTCTGCCAACATGTGAAACATGTCAGACAAGTATGAGAGCTTGGAGTAAATTACATTGATATGTTAAACAAGGAAGTGTATATAAGAGAAAGGAAGACTCAAGGTATCTTCATTGTGGAGATGCCTTTCAAGCTCTGATAGTTGAAGATGTTCTCTGGAAAGGTGAAAGGTACTGAGAAGGTTTAAACATTAAACATACAAATAGTTATATGTAGGCAAAAACTCTCAGTGAAAAATAAAATAATAATTGCTGAGAGAATAGTAATATAGTTAACTGCTTTAGAAAAAAATCAACAGTGTTTTTGTATTAAAAAATCATCAAAATACTTCCAGTTTCTCATCTGTCATAGTTACTGTATATAGATATACATATACATGTATGTATGTACTAAATGTGTATTTATGTATGCAAACTACTGTATATATATTCACGTACATTAGACTCATGATTCTTAATTTTATGTGTAAAAATTGTTAGTTATATCATAGTTTATAAATATTTGAATGTTATTATTAGCTTTGTTAAGAAGACAGTACTTAACCAGAAATAGTAAATTCAACATAAAGGACAGTAGCTACATATTTTAAAATCATTTAGGGATTTCTTCATTTATGAATCAGATTATATTTTTTTCTTCTTTAAATTATGTTAGCAAAATTCCAGTAGTAAGCATAGGAAGTGTTCAAATAATCCTGGGTACGAATCTATCATCAATATATTAAATTTACTATGTATTTAATATATGTTTAAATTTACTATATTATATTCATTTCCCTAAGTACATAGGATAATTTGTCCATTGTCATTTGATCAGTACTGATCACTTCTTTTGTGAAGTCTTTAGCAAGGATACTTGGGCTCATCATAAGTTTTAACCTAAAAAATAATAAAATTTTATTATCATCCAAGTTATTTGGAAATCTGGATCAAAGATTCACAAATGCTTGAGATCTCTAACAATCTGATTGTTTTAGCAAGAAAAGTTAACATATTCTATGTATGTTCTCTAAATTATGCAGAAAATAAGTTGCTTTTTTATTATGAACCCCAAGATAAATATTCAAATGTTTTTTTTCTTTCATGCTATTGTTTCTAACATATTTATAAGATGATTTCTTTGTTGCTTTGTATGTATGTCCCTCCCCATGGTATAACCCCTGCTTTCACTGTATTTGATGTTGGTATAATTTGTGGAGGAGAAGGGACAAAACAAATAGTTTAAGTAGGGATACAGGTGGACCCACTGCAACAATGAGATGTACAAGTCATTATGTCAAAAAACAAATTTTACAACTTTGGTAGTGGGGAGGAGGCAGGGGGAGGATCTGGTAGGGGGGAGAAGGGGTATAGGAAGGGATGGGAAAGGGAAAAAAAGGAGGAGGCAACAATGCTTGATAAGAAATGTACTTGTTATCTTGCCCATGTAATTGTAACCCCTTTGTATGGTATTTTCACAATATAAATAAATATATAAGTAACTAAAACCCTTAACTGATTTAGAAATTCCAACTAATTTGAAAACCACATTGTGGTTTATCTGCAGAGAAGCTGCTGTGCCTTATTTGAAATTCTATACTTTCACTGAATTTATATCAATAGATTATTCATATAGAATATCAGCTATACTGAAAGCATTCTAAAAATTCTCCTGAGTTGTTTATACCCACATTTATACCACTTTTGAACTTATGATAATACTGTCACTGGAGTATCTGAACCCTGGGAAGTCTCTATGCTTTACTTTTATATTTGTGATTTTGAAAGTCAAATTAATTTACTTTGCTCAAGTTTATTCCATTCTGTATGAGGTGATTTCTAAAGTATTTTTAATACTGGGACTGTATGTTTTTGCCTCTATCAATATTAAAGGAAGTGCTATTTTTTATATTGTTATTATACAATCCAGCTTATTCTTCCAAGACATCTAACACATGCCCTATAGAAACTTCTCAGTATTCTATCAGCCTGTCTAGATAAAAGCAGTGCAAACTTGTTTGATTATGTATGTGGGGAGCTCCCTATGTATTATAGATACATAATTGATACCAGACAACATTAGCATGGAGGCAGTATGTTAGAAGTATTAGCATAAGAAAAAACATTCACATTTTCATTTCAGATAGCTTAGTTTCCAGATACAACCGTATTTGTTGTTATTCTATTTTGAGAAAAATGCTTTCATACCTGTGATTCTTTATCTGGAACAGATGAAAGGTACAGCAAACAATACTAGGAAAAACATATCTCAGTGTTGCATTTCCTAATTACAGAATTTTCTTTCCTTTTTCTATAGAGGTATCCTGTAGCAAAAGACTCTGAAGTACATAGATCAAAGTTAGAAACAGAGTAGCTACTTCATTCCTAGCCAACATTTATATATGAATAAATATAGTAATTCATGATAACAATTCAGGAATGAATTTGATGGCATTTTTCCCCAGTATGGTAGAAATTTGCAAGATTTCCATTTTCACTGAAGCCTTTTCCCCAAAACTGATATAGTCTCTCCATCTCCATATTAGAGTAGTCTAATTAAAAATAATAGGACAAAGTCTTGAGAGAACAATTTCTCTGTGGAACTTTTAGAGAAATGCTTTCAACATTTGACCATAAATATTTTTATAATCTTACATTCACAGCTATGATCCTTCCATATAGCAAAATGTGTAAACCCTTGTGAAGGTTTTATCATTTAGTGCAGATGAATGCATTTGCTCTTAAGCTGAATAAAGGGAAGTTAGAACATTAGAGGAAGACTCAATCCCATTCAGAGCCCTCTCAAATTCTCCAAAAGAAATGTTTCCTTTGCTGTTTTTAATTACTTAAGCATGACATTTTTGAATGGACACATTTTAAAAATGAAAACCTTTTATTGCTATTTTCTCCTGTTAACTAAATTGCACACATTCCATTATAATTTGTTTTCCACAAAAACAACACTACATGTGTCTATAAAGACAAGGAGTGAGAAAAGGCTTCAGTCAGGGTATGGATAGAAGCAAATATTTTTCTACTTACTATTATAAGGTAAATTAGATATCACCAGAAATATGCCTTAGCAAAGTAACTTATTAGCTGGGACTTTCATGTTAATTTCTATAACATGTGAGTACTTATTATTCCCTCATTTGCATAGGAGGTAATGTTATAACCTAGTGTTAAATGATATAACTTAGTCTCTATAATCCAGTAGTTTGGGTTCAAGTTCAGCAGAAGGACTTCTCCATGGAGGTTGCATTGTAATGGATGTCTTATATTCTTTATGCCTCAAAAATTACGATAAAGGTCATTTATAGTTACTGTGAAAAGTCACTGATGAGTTAATTACATTACCCTTGGGCCTTATAGCAAATAAGTGATTGCTATCTGGTAATTATTGTGATTATAGTTGGTATTATAACTTAGAAAATATTATAAGAGAATAGAGCACAAAGACATAACCAGAATTTTAACTTCTATGTTCAAAACTATACATACATAGTGATATCAGTCATTTCATAGTTTATTCATTGTTATTGAATCACAATTGAATGACATCATTTATTTTATTTTACTTTTTCTGGTTGTGGGGTTTGAACTCTGGGTGGGGAGCTCTCCTTGAGCTCTTCAGCTCAAGGCAAGCACTCTACCACTTGAGTCACCACACCACTTCCGGTTAATTGGTGGTTAATTGGAGAGAAAAGTCTCAAGGACTTTCCTGCCCAGGCTGGCTTTGAACCACACAGCCCCTTGCAGAGCTAGGATTACAGGCTCAAGCCACTGGTGCACAGCAACATCTTATTTTTATACCTTGAGGTCATATTTTAAATCTAAGTAAATCCAAAAACAGAATAAAATTCTCTGCCAAATGTTACATATTTTGCACAGTTTTAAATGTATTCTCAAAGACATTTATTTCCATATAAAGTTAAGCAATCAAGATGCTACCCTAAATGTTGAATAAAATGTTGAATAGAATGTGTAGCACAAAACTAAGTGAATACTGAATTACTTCAAACATTTGTGTAGAAACTTAGCCTTGATATGAAGGAAACTTAAATTGAATATCTGTTACCTACATTCCCTCTTCCTTGCTGTGAATATTATTTTATGTGGCATAGCTGTAAATATAATTCATAAGAAGCACACACTAGAATAAACATGTTTCCAAATGTAGGATATCAATATAACCAAGTCATGAATTCCAGCAATTTTATTGATTATTTGCAGGACCAAATTTCTAAAATCGTTCTTCATTGTCCAGTTGTCAAAACATACGTTATTTCACAGTGTAAGATATCCTCTGTGTCACTGGGGATTTTTGTTTCATTTTTTAAATTTTGGTACCCTATATTTTATATATATATGTTTATCTGATTGGGGGAAGAGAAGGGGAATAAAAAATGGCAAGATAAAGGGTGAACCAATGCAAAAGTGATACTCACAATACACTAGGTTGGAAATGAACTTTACAATTTCAGGGAAGTGGGAGGGATAGTGGAAGAAAAACAGAGTGGGTAACAATGTTCAACAAGAAATGTACTGATTACCTTACTCATGTAACTGTAACCCCTCTTTACATAACATTTACAATATTTTTTTGGGTCGGTCGTGGGGCTTGAACTCTGGGCTTGGGTGCTATCCCTCACCTCTTCAGCTCAAGGTGAGCGCTCTACCACTTGAGCCACAGCACCACTTCCAATTTTCTAGTGGTTTATTGGAGATAAAAGTCTCATAGACTTTCCTTTCCCGGACTGGCTTTGAACCGTGATCCTCAGATCTCAGCCTCCTGAGTAGCTAGGATTACAGGCATGAGCCACCAGCTCCCGGCTTGAAATTTAAATTTGAAAAAAATGATGCACTATTTGGCTTATATCCTAGTGATATGTGGTGAGCCATAATTAAAATAATAACTAGCAAATTAACTAAATTAATTGATGTAGGTCAAAGGCAAACAATAGTGTAAACTTACCAATTACTTTCAAAGAAATCAACTGTCTTTGGAATCTAGCACTTACTGATGCTTTTCCACATGCCTTCTTTTCTTATTAGCTATGTATTTCCTGGTGAAAAAATATAAAAATGACTAGAATACATAATAAAAATTCACAAAGCTAAGGTTACACTTACTTCTCAATCAATAGGTAAACCTACAGGCACAGGGTCATAAAATGTCTTTCTTAAAAGCATTAAATGCCATAGAGGTCTACCTGGAAAAGATCATTACTACATTAAGACAGCATAAAGATTTTCAGCCTTTTATTTACATTGTTGCTGTATTTTTATAAAAACCATAGGCTACTTATCTTTGTGTCTTTGCAATTTGTTTTTGTGATGACATTATCTGTTCATAACATTAAATGTACATTTAAAAAGGCATTGTATTATACCACTGATGCTTCAAAACTTTATTCCTATATTATTTACATTATGTAGATACCAGAATGTACTTGTACATAATGGCTAATCCTATGATTTTTTTTCCATTCTCAGAGCCACAAACCTGTACATTGAAAGATTTTCTCTGTGCCAATGGAGATTGTGTTTCTTCAAGGTTTTGGTGTGATGGAGACTTTGACTGTGCAGATGGTTCTGATGAGGTAGGTGCTTCTACAATCACAAATATGAAAAGAAGGCAACTCTTTAAACTGCACTTAAAACCATCATTACTCAGTCCAATAAGTGTGACCAAAGAGAGCTCTGCTCCTGACACACTGAGATAAGTATTAATCCCCAGGCTGTGCCACATGCATCAACACAGGGAATAACTCCTGTGCTACTATTGACAGTTAATTTTATAGCTAGTTTTACTTCAGCTAGTGAATGGCTACATAGGGAATAAGATGCTTGGAAACTCTAGTCCCTGTAGCTGATGCCTTTGCCATTTGTGAATCTGCTAAAAAAATTTGCTGCAGTATTTATAGTCATGACTAAAATTTTATGCATTTAAAACAGTTTCTTCTCCCTAGTCTCTTTGTTCAATGAATATAAGTCTTGTACACTTCAGTGTGTGTCATCAATTTTCATGAAACCTCAGGTGATAAATCACAATCTAATTATCATATGGACTTTGCACACATAGATGAATAAAGTTAATTATTTCTTTGTATAATTCTTTGCACAGAGATGCTAAAAATATTTACAGGTTTATATTTTAGATAGTTTTTTTCATGATGTTTTTAAAAAGTTGCAGAGACATGATTATATTTTCTCCAACAAATCAAAAATAACCCCAAGCCATCTCTTTCTAATATTAAGCAGAATTCTAGTAATAGTCAATTTAAAGTTTATCTCTGTTTCATTGCATATCAGGAACAGGGCATGCACAAATAAGCCTTAGGAAAGTGAGGTTTTTGATCTCCCATGAACATCAAGACTCTTCAGTCATGAAGTGTCTCCCAAAACTCTGCTCCTCTGTCTGTGAAACCTGTGTGCCCAAACTAATAAAAGATTACTCCAATGAATTTAGAAAATAGAGGACCTTTTCTGCAACTCTGCAAGTATTTGCTACAGATCTGTCTTCCACAGGTATTTAGTGGTTTCTTAAGGTTAAAAAACAAAAACGAAAATCACTGAGTATTAATATTGGTTAGCGAATCCACAAAAACAAAGATTTTCTTAGTTCTTGGATATTTTTAACAGGATTGGACCAATTTCCATTCTCTCACCATTTTGAAAATGTCACCTAAAAGTCATGTTCATGAACGTAGATTTGAGAAACAGTTATGTAGGATTTGTCATTTGAAGGCCAGAAAAATGTAAGATTCATCATTACAAAGGTGTCTCGAAAGACACCTTTTATCCATGAATTATTTTACAAGAACACAAATATTTTTAAAAATCTATTACACACACATAGCAGTTACATATTTTTGATCTCCATTCATTCAAAACTTACCATAAGCATTTCAAAGTTGAGAAGACACATCTCATGAGAACTCATCCACACTATGTAAAATGGTGTGGTTTTGCTTTTGAAATCTATTCTACCAGATTTTTGTAAACTGTGAAACTTCAAGAAGTTGAGACACATTGCTTAAAGATGTGATTTCATTTTACATGTTATTACTAGATGTGTGAGGTACATACACAAAATGAAAGTCATAGTTTAATATGGTGTTTCACAAAATTGTATTCATGTCAAAGTAGATATCCTTACTAACATCATTTCTCTTGTTCTGAAAGTTGTAAATAGTGGTTCTTTGGTGGTTGAATAATGTCCGTATATTCAGCATTATCATAATAATGCTCTGAGCAAAACATTATCTCTCTCACAAATGGTATTTTTCTGTATTTGCATGCCTTTAGCTCAGTATATATAAAATGAAGTAGCTAAAAATATTGGCAGTAATTTCTATTTTTCTAAAGTCTACTATGACAGGTTGTACTTACAAAAAGCAAGCAAACAGAGAAATGAACAGAAGAACAAAAATATACTATTGAACCTTTGGCTAGAAAGCAGAAATACATTCAAGATATATTAATATAAAAAGAAAAGTTTGGAGAATTGTGAAATTTCATATTAATGAATATGCAATAATCATATAATTATCCTATTCATATCCTGCCATAGCAATGTAAAAGAAATTTTAAAAACTTGGACCAACCTAATTTCACATCAGGCATGCCATTATGCCTTGCACAGAGAAGTGTTTTTTAAAGTGACATTAAATTATTATATTTGGCCTTTGCATCTATCAGAATGTATTGTAACCACACAAAGAAATTCCAAACAATATTAAATTCCAGTGTCAGACTTGCTGTTAATAATATTTTGTTTATTGAAATACATATGATCTTTACAATTATTGGTTATGCAAATATTACCTAAAATTAAAATAAAGGAAATATGAATATAGATTCAAAGAATAAATTAAAAATCTAAATAATAAGCTAGGTGCCAGTGGTTCATGCCCATAATCCTAGCTACTCAGATGGCTGAGATCTTAGGATTCCAGTTTAAAGCCAGCCCTGGCAGGAAACACTATGAGACACTTATTTCCAGTAAACCATCAGTAAAACCAGAAGTGGCATTGTGGCTCATTTGATAGAGCACTGCCTTGAGCTGAAGAGTTGAGGGATAGCACCCAGGTCGATTCAAGCCCCACAACCACAAAAAAATAATTACTTAATTAATTAAATTTTAAAAATCTAAATATTTTAAATCCAAAAGTATCAGTATGATCTTAGAGATCTCTCTCCCTTCTCTCTTTCTCTCTTTGTCTCCCTTTCTCTCTCTTTTTCTCTCTGATTATGTCTCTCTGATTCTGTCTCTGTCTGTCTCTATCTCTCTTTCTCTCTCTGTCTTTGTGGGGGAGGCCTTTGAGCTGTCATTAAGCTCTTTTTGCTCAATGCTAGCCCTCTACCCCCTTTAGATCATAGAACCACTTCTGGTTTTTGAGTGGTTGATTGTAGATACGAGTCTCATGGGAACTTTTCTGCCTTGGCTGGCTTTGAACCACAATCCTCTGAGCTCAGCCTCATGAATAGCTGGGGTTACAGGCATGAGCCATTGGCACTAGCAAGATTTGTCTCTTCATACATAATTTCTACTTTTCCCACTAAAAGATTTTTTAAACTAATAAATTAGAAGTAATGATTATCCCTAGCAGCTTCAATAGTTATCAAAAGCCATTTCCCACTTAAAGAAAATAAGAATACTATGAGAAAAATCCAATGCTTCACTTGAGAAAAAAAAAAACTGAACAGGTAAGGTGTTAACATGGAATTTTTCAGAAAAGAGGATAATTAATATAATGTCCAAAGTACACAGAGACAAATTTGAAAGAGTATCTACTGTCAATAGTATCAAAATAAAAATCTACAATAGTGTATTTAAAGACAATAAAGAGGAGCTCCAGTAGTGCAATCTGTAAGCAAGCGGTACTTATAAGACAATGAACATCTTAAATTTCATCTTTAGAGGTGGTTAAGTAATTGATATTCTTCAGTTTTACTAGTCTAGTTCAGAATGTTGGCCATGCCCTAGAGAAAATAGTTTAGTTTCTTCGAGTTAGAAAAAGACATTTTATACAAATGAATGGTACTACTTTCATGCTTGTAATCCTAGTAATTAAGAAGAGTCATAGTTTACAGCAAAAGTCTATGAAATTCTTACCATAAAAAAAGGCAGGCATGTATCTGTGGCTCAGAAGATTGAGTGCCAGCCTTGGAAAAAAAGCAAATCCCACAGGCCCTGAGTTCAAGCCCAGTAATTGCACATACAAAGAAAAACAAAAAAACCTGAGTGGGAAGTATATACATGTTGTAAGCAACTTCAGCTATATTAAAAAACAAACATACTTTTCAATTTTATTTTACCAAACAATATTTTCATATGTTTACATAAGTAAGAAAGTTTTGTATAGACTACATATACTAGTTAATTATATTGCATTTTATAAATAGTGCCTATTTTCTAGTGTCATTGTTGTGTTGAAATATTAACTGTAATTGAGTAGATAATGAATGCAAAGTGCACATTGTAACAGTGATCATTGTGGAATGTACACGACAAGTACATGGGATGTGTTATAAATAAACAATATAGCATTCCAAATTCAAAAAATCTGATGATAGAAATCATATTTTAAACTCTCCTTTCTATATTATAAACCAATACAATATATACCAGAGCCATTGATTTTATCAAACTTTTACATAAATAAGGCTAAGAAGATCACTAATTAATTATTCTAATATTTACTGTACCACGATAAAAATGATAGCATATAAAAACTTCACTCATAGTTCTTAGACCAGTAGATCATTATTAAAAGCCCAAACCAAGAGTAAAACAAAAAATGAAACAAAAAGAGAACAATATCCTCAATGAACATAGATACAAATATCTCCAACACAATATTTGCAAGCAGAATCCAACAACAAATAAAAAGATGTACTTCACAGACACAAGGATTGTTCAGTATCAGCAAATCAATCAACACAGTGCATAACATCAACAGAATGATAAAAATTTATATAATTATTTTACTGGATGCAAAAAAACATTTCATAAAATTCATGAGAGAAATACTGAATAAATTAGGAAAAGATGCACCGTACCTATGTAACATTATGCTGAATTGGCAAGACCAGAAAGTTTTTCATCTAATATCTGGAGGAAGACAAATATGGATCATTAGCCCAGTAGTCAGGCAACAGGAGAAGATAAAAATAACCCTAACTATAATTATTTAAATTTGTAGTGTCTGTGATCACAGTGATCACATATCAAAAAATTGAAATATCCCACTAAAGTGACTATATAGAATAAATGAATTTGTTAAATTTCAGACTATTAAATTAATGTAAACAATCACTCTGAGTGCCAGAGATTCACACCTTCAATCCTAGCTACTCAGGAAGCTAATTTTTGAGAATCTTGGTTCCAAGCTGGCAGTTGGTCCAGGCAGGAAAGGCAGGAAATCCATGAGACCTTTTTTTTTTTAATTTATTTTTTCCAGTCATTGGGCTTGAACTTTGAGCTTGGGTGCTATCCCTGTGCTCTTCAGTTTAAGGCAAGGGCTCTACCACTGGAGCCATAGCACCACTTCTGGTTTTCGAGTACTTTAATGGAGATAAGAGACTCACCCAGGTTCCTGCCCAGACTGGCTTTGAACTGAGATTCTCTGATCTCAGCCTCATGAGTAGCTGGGATTACAGGGGTGAGCCACTGGTGCCCAGCTCCATGAGACTCTTATCTCCAATTAACTATCAAAAAATCCATAAGCAAAATTGTGGCTCAAGAGGTATAGTATTAACCTTGAGCTCAGAAGTCCAAATAAAACCCCAAGTCCCAGAGTTCAAACCCCAGGACAGACAACAACAACAAAAATCCATAATGTTGCTATATGACAGACAATAAAAAATATTCAAAATAGAAATAAGGCTACCAACACCATTTATAACAGGTTCAAGTAGGTAAAGTATCTAGGAGTAAATTTAACTGAAATAGTGAAAGATCTCTACACTAGAAACAATGATACAGTGATAAAAGAAATGGAAAAGAACACATATTCAAAACCTGTCCATGATCTTAGGTTTGAAACCATAACCATTCTTATGAAACTGTGTTTTTCCATAAATTTCTACATCTCGAAGTGTTCAACAGATTCTATGGAATTCATACAAAAATGGCATTGAAATTTGCCAAAGAAGTCATATAAACCATCCTAAAATCATGAAATTGTGAAAGTCACAACCAGTTTTAGCAAAACTGCCAACAAACAAAGCATTATATGACCTAATGTCAAAATACTGCACAAAGTTACACATGTCATATATTTTACATGAAAACTGTCATGAATTACTGGAACACAAGAGAAAAACTAGAAGTGAACTCATACTTCTACAGCTACTTTGTTTGATAAAAGTGCTAAGAACACACATTAAGAAAGCCAATCTTCACAATCATCATGCTGGGAAAATTGTTTATCTATATGCAGAAAAATGAAAGAATAAAGCTAGAGCCATAAACTTCACCATAAACAAAAATCAACTCAAAGTTCATTAAATATATAAAAAGAAACAGAGAGAGAGAGAGAGAAAAGGAGAGAGAGAAAAGAGGGGGGCGCGCGGGAAGAGAAGCCAGGTACGGTTTTATCAACCCTATTATCTTAGCTATTCAGGAAACTGTGATCTAAGAATGGTGATTTGAAGACATCCAGGTCAGGAAAGTTCTTAATATTCTGATCTTCATTAAGCACCATCCCCAAAAATCAATCCAGAATTGAAGGGGCTAGCTTTGAACAAAAAAACTCAGGGATACTGCTCATGCCTAACATAGAAGAATTTTGTGAGTTAATTGAATGGGCAGTAATGTTTCTGAGACATACATTTTTTGTGGGGGGAGGGGCTGGTCATGGGTTGCTGAACTCTGGGCCTGGGCATTGTCCCTCAGCTCTTTAGTTCAGTCGAGTGCTCTACCACTTGAGCCACAGCATCACTTCCGGCTTTTTTTTTTCTACTCATGTGGTGCTGAGGGATCGAACACAGGGCTTCATGGATGCAAGGCAAGAACCATTGAGTTTCCTTGTGTTGCGTTGGCTGGGAATCGAATTCATGTCAGCTGCTCGGAAGGCAGCTATGTTAACCACTGTACCACCAATGCTACACTCTGAGACAAAAAATGTTTATATTGGAGTAAACAAAGATAGACATAGAGTAATTGGATTACATCAAAGTAAAAGCATCTGCAAAACAAAACAACAACAACAACAAAATCAGGCTGAGCATTAATGACTTACACCTGCAGTCCTAGAGATTAGATTAAAAAAAAATTTAGGCAATAAAGTCCACAAGATGTCATCTGCTAAATAACCAGGAAAAAAATGTTTTGCTAACTTTCTTTTTTAATAGCTTAATTGGTATATTGCCAAATGAAGCAGAAAACGTGAGGAATCCTTGAGTTCCAATCTTGTAACCAGAAGAAAAAATAATCAATGAAGCAAAGAGACCCTAAAGAATGAAAGATTGAGGGAATATACTTCCAAAGAATATATCTGTCAAGAATATACAAGGAACACTGAAAATTCAGTGGCAAAATTCCAAATAGCTTAATTTTAAAATAGGCAATAGAACTTAGTATAGTTTTTAAAAGACACATACATATGCTGGGCATAATTAAAGCACAAATAACACCCTAAGAGGATATCATCTCACTCCAGCCAGGACTGGTTTTATCAAAAATACTAAAAGTAACAAGAGTTAGAGAAGATCTAGAACAATGGAATCCTTGTCACACTGTTGCTTATACTGAAAATTAATTCAGCCCTTATGAAAAACAACACAGAATAAAGTATATAGGGCTACCAAAAAAATGAAATCAATACATTGAAGTGACATCTGAACTATCATGTTCACTGCAGTTCTATTCACAATAGTGTTCTGCATACAGAAAATGGATCATTATGCAACATTTTCTAAAAGTTCAATGTTCAAATATCTGAAATTATTATGCTTCATTAAAATTATAGTTTAGATATTGTTCTTTATACAAGTCTATGAGCTTTATTTTTCTTTTATGCATGTTGAGTTTTATTTAACTGATACCATAAAATACATGCAATTTTATATTATTTTGACATACCAATTTATAGAAAGCACTTTCTCAGGCATTGTATATCTCTCTGAATAGTATTTATAACATATATATATATATATATATTTGTTCAGCAAACCTTTGTTGTACAAGTGTGTTTCATTGTGATATTTTCTCTTTTTTTTGGTTAGTTGGTGATATTTTCATATATACAATGCACTCCAGCACCTCACTGTCTTTATCTCAAATACAGGAAGTAAATTTTCATTTTTATTAGTATCTAACACAGTCCCTGGCAGAGAGTGAAACTTTACTATTTGTAGAAAAAGGTAGAAAAATAATTAAATAGAAGACCATATAATTGAATTTTTAACATCCAAAAGAAAATTATAGGAACTTAAGAAACAGTTTTGTTGAATTTCCTGGGGATGAAATGATACAAGAATAATATGTTAGTAGAAAATGCCTCCCTGAATCTCAGCAGATCTTGACATAACAGAAATTGCTATATAAGAGAAAAATGCCAGTAATACATTTAATTGTATTGTCTCATTCGATCAAAGCTTTCAGAACTGTAGATTGTAAATTTCTGGTAGGTCCCTTTCATTTATCTCATATAAAAAGTTAATGATCCCCAGAAATAAATTTTCTCTCTTGTTTGACTCCAAGTAAAATCTGTAGGCTCTCAAGCAGAAATGACCACTGTGGAAGCACATATCACAGCCTTTTAAGAACAAATGTCAGTAAATAAAAGGATTTAGGCAGCCAAGTAAACTATAAGAGGACAAGGACAAATGGAAAAAGAAAGAGAACACATTGGGGAAGGCTTTTGAATGAATGACAGATTTGTTTAAATTATCTTGTTTGTTTTACATTCTACTTCCTACCCCTAACCTGCTTAATGAACTAGATGCAATTTCTGGGAAATAATTTTAACTACTAATATTTCTCCACAGTTTTCACTAGTTTTCATTATTGCCACACTTGAGATTTCCATTACTATCTACTAAAGAGTAATCAACTCAAAGAGGAAAACTGGGATGATGATGGGTAATTTTTGCTACTTCCATTTTATTATGACACAAAGTGACAAATGGAAGGTGATCATTATTACATTTCTACAAGAGTCATAGTCAGAGAGCATTTTTATCCAAGTCATTTGCTTTTTATTCATATCTAGCAATGTCACTGAAAATTATATGTGGTACACATGAATTCAACAATTCTAGGTTGGAGCATATTCTTTTCTAGTTGTCATTTACATCTGTAGATCTTTTATGAAAAACATTAATTTTAATTCTGTTGGTGTTGTCTTTCAGAGAAATTGTGAAACAAGTTGTTCCAAAGATCAATTTCAATGTTCCAATGGTCAGTGTATATCAGAAAAATGGAAATGTGATGGCCACCAGGACTGTAAATATGGGGAAGATGAGAAAAACTGTGAGCCAGGTAATATGGTAGAGCTGACATTTTAACTTGATGGACTTTAACTCTGAGCAACAATACTCTGAAAACAATCACATGACACAAGTACTCATTTACTATTTCAAATAAATAATTTGAAGTGTTGGTATGAATGATTCTTACGATTTTAAATTTCCATTAGCAGATAAGATCATTACTCATGTTTGGATTCCAAGCCTTATGCATCTAAATTTGATTTTCTACTGTCTTTTTTATATATTTTATATTTTTATTGTGAAAATGAGGTACAGAGGGGTTATAGCTATGTACATAAGTGTTATCCCCTCCCTCATTTTCTGCTTTCTCTATCTTATCACACAACCTAAATTGTTTTTCAAAGTTCTCAAATAAAATATGTTTGATGGATGGTAAAGGTCTAGTTCCACTCATGGAAACTGAGGTTGTATATTAGAAGGTAATAGCTTTACTGAGCCTGGCAAGAAGCATGCTTGTACTATTTGTGTTTAAGTCTTGGGCCAAAATTAAAAAAAAAAGGAAGTCCACACAAGCCCATGTAATTTTCACATCTCTGTACACACACACACACACACACACACACACACACACACACATACATATATTGCTCTATAAATTTGCTCATATAAACACTTAAATTTTCACCTAGATATTTTAATTATTTTACTCATATACCCTCCCTCCTGGAAAAAAACCTATTTGCAATATTTCTGTGTGATCACAGAAATATTGCTGTGAGAGACTAGGTCAGAAATACAAAGATTACATATTTATTTGCCCCAGTGACATAACTTTGAACCATAGTTCCAATGAACTGTATCTTTCTTACTGAATCTACATGTTCTTATAGTTTTATTAATGCAAAATCTCTAGGCAAACTGACAATTAAAATGATTCAAAAATGCTAGTGAAAGGCTTCTCAGTATCTTTGGCAAAGCAATCCAGATCACAACATCATCATCCAAATATTTTTTCCATAGTATTTCAGTAAAAGCCAGGAGCTTGGTGATTTGTTTTCAATCTTAGAATCGTCAAACCCACAGACAAAACCAGTTGTCAAATATTTATGTTAATGAGACCTGGGGAGTACTATTAATGTATTTATCAATGTATTTTTAATTACTGAATCATAAATACTGTAAATTCTTTAGGCTATTTTAACTATGCACAGGGTCGTGTGGAAAAACCTCAAAACAACTATCTTAAAATATGTTCATTATTGAACTCATGCCAATAGAGCTAAGTAAATATAATTAAATCTGAGAGAATGACACAATTCTCACTTTCATCTTAAAAATGAAAATATGAATTGACACTCTCAAAGATTGCTTAATTTTTGCACAGTTTTGAAAATAGCTTGAGGCTTTTCTTTTTCCAACTGTTTATGATTGTGACAAACTCAGTCAATGCTATGGATTGGAAGAGATGGGTAACACTGATACTTCCCCAGGGTCCTTTTCATTTGAGTTACATCCTTAATGCATACCTTATTATATCCTTGAAGCATATTTAATGCTATAGAAAGCACATTTTTAATAAGTCCTTAAGACTAGAAATGGAACATAGTTAAAACAACATACGGTATTCTTTTTATCTTTTAGAATTTCACTTTTCCATATTCATATATATGTTTTGCTTCCACAAAGTAGTCATTCTCTTTGTTATATCTAAACCTTAACTTTATAATTGTCTTCAGCATCTCCTACATGCTCATCAAGTGAATATATATGCGCTAGTGGAGGATGTATTTCAGCGTCTTTGAGATGTAATGGAGAATACGATTGTGCTGGTGGTTCAGATGAGGTAAAAATCTATCATTGCATTATAATCTCTGAATTACATGTAGTAGGGTTAAGAAAGTAAAAGGAATAAAAACAAGGCAGGCGCTGGTGGCTCATGCCTGAAATCCTACTTATTTAGGAGTCTAAGATCTGAGGATCACAGTTCAAACTCAGACTAGGCAGAAAAGTCCATACGACTCTTAATCAGTTTTTTATTGTGAAAATACTTTACAGTGGTGTTACAGTTACATTAGCAAGGTAATGAATATGTTTCTTATCAAGCATTGTTGGTTCCTCCTTTGTTTTTCCCCTACCATACCTTCCCTCCCATCTCCTCTACTACACCTCCCACCTCCTGACCCCTGCCTAAATTGTAAACTTCGTTTTTCAACATAGTGTCTTCTATGGGTCAACCTGTATCCCTATTTAAATATTTTGTTTTTTCCCTTCCCCTCCCCAAACCAGCATCAAATGCAGTGAAAACCTGCGGGAGAGGGACATACATATCAACAAAAAAATCTCATAGTACCATATAAATACGTTAGAAACAATAGCAAGCAAGAAAAAAAAAACACAGTTTTGCCCTCATCACTAATAAACTACTCAGAAAAAGGCAAAGTGGCTTTGTGGCTCAAGTGGAAGAGTGCTAGTCTTGAACACAAACATGCTCAAGGATGGTGCCCTAGCCCTGAGTTTAACCCCCAGGACTGGTTAAAAAGAAAGAAAAATCAAACACACTTTCATTTTTAGGACTGTATAAAACACTAAACCAACAAATGGAGTGCAAATTAGTTCAGCAAATACCTAGGTCTGTATAGTGTGTAAATGCAAAAATCCCATTGTAAGTTGTTCTCAGTAAGTCAAAAAAAGTAAAAAAAAAAAAAAAGAAAGAAAAAAAAACCTAAAATCTCCTTCGATTATAAAGTATTGATGTTAAAAGCCACAAGTTTTTTTCCTGTGATTGTATCATTATCATGAATGAAAACACCAGTGCCCATTTGTATTTGAACAGATGGACTGTGTGACTGAATGTAAGGAAGATCAGTTTCGATGCAAAAATAAAGCCCACTGTATTCCAATTAGATGGCTGTGTGATGGGACTCATGACTGTGTGGATAGCAGTGATGAAGCAAACTGTGACAGAGGTAAGGCACTTATCCGGTGAGCCCAGATGTGACAGAATAGTCGTTGAGGCACTGGAATGAGTAAGCATATAAAACATGAGCTAGGAGCAGAGAATAAGGTGATTATGAAATTCTCTTTCTCTGCTGGGATTGTGGGACAGTCTACTCTGAATAAATAAAATCCATATTACATTCAAACAGACTATGATCCTACTTTGTGTATGACAAAAGTAAACCAAATATAAATAAACCAAGAGTTTAATGAGTATCTAGCATGATTTTTCCTTCAGATTGGTGATGAATCATTGCTAGGCATATGTGAAATATACAGAGAAAGTAGCAATTAGGGCCATTATTAAAAGAGAATTTTTTTCTGTTCTGTGTAAGTTTTTTTTCTGCATTTCTTGCTTAACTCTGAAGAAGAGAGCACATTTATAGTTCCTGTAATTCTAGATTGTTATATGCTATGTATTATATAACATATACCATATGTTGTATGATATGTAGATTTTGTTTTACCCTCCAATTGTCTTTACTATTGAAAAAATTCTATTTTTTGCTTCTCTGGAAAACAATCTTCAATTCAGTAATATATTATGTTTAACTATGTAAAGATCCCTTCTGACAAGTAATGAGTTTTTATTTGTAAATCACTACAGTCAGCGCAGCAATGGTTACTACTTGGAGTTAATAAGAATTAATGAAAGAGATGAACCTGAGGGCCAAAGCTTGAAATTATCCTAAACTACAATTTTTTATCTTGATATTGTTATATGGATTATTTAAAACACATTTTCTTCTCATTACTTACAAAATTTTCTCAAAAGAATTTAACTTTGGAGTATTTGCAACATTGCCAACAGACATGATAGTAGGTATTTCTACTCAAGGATACACTTTTGGATATGTATTCAAAGTTTATCTTATTTAAATATATCTATTTATATATAGTCATATAAGGAAAAATGCATAAACTATTCTAACTTGCAGCTTCATTGTTCTTGTCTTACTTTGTACAATATTGCGTAAACTGACTCCAAAACACTCCAAAACATACTGTTTACTTGTACCTCAAGCAATGGATTATGCCAGTCTTTGCTCAAGTTTTCATGGTAATAAAGAATCAAATCAATTTTATCTTTTTTTTTTTTGGTCCCGTCGTGAGGCCTGAACTCTGGGCCTGAGCGCTGTCCCTCAGCTCTTCAGCTCAAGGCTAGTACTGTACCACTTGGGCCACAGCACCAATTCCGGCTTTTTTCTTTTTGCTTATGTGGTGCTGAGGAATCGAACCCAGGGCCTAAGGCATGCAAGGCAAGCGCTCTACCACTGAGCCACCTTCCCAGCTCCTCAAATCAATTTTAAAGTAATGGTCAGAAGAGAATAGTTATAGTTTACCTTCCCTTCTTTATACTCAGCTATTTCATTTATGTTTCACACTGTGGCCAAATTAATAAAAAATTAATAATCTGAGGACTTTCAGAATTGAAAAGATTCTACTATTTAACCTCACTCAGAAAAAGAGAACTGAAAAGATTCTACTATTTAAACTTACTCAGAAAAAGAGTTGTGAGTTCCTAAATGTATCGTTTACAAATATGTCAAAGTTGCCCTCCTCTCTTACCCACTCACATTTTGTACTTTCTTTAGGTCTTTTTCCCATTTAACAATTAAGTTCAAAAGAAATAGCACGGAAGTTGAGGTTTTCATCATGTATAGATTTACCTTAAGTTATGACAAAGTTTGGAATTTTAATACTTAATTTACTAGAGTGGTTTGAGGAAATCAAAAACAAAAAAAAAGAATTCTATGAAAACAAATTACCATTCATCTCAAATTTGGACACATGAGCTAGCAGTGATTAGTGGAGGAATTTGGAAGTAAAGAGAGCTACTTTGAATTGAATGGGTTGCCTTTGCTTACTTTCAAATACTAACAACCTCATATACAATACAACAGCAACACTTATACTTTATACATTTTAACAATTATCTTTAAATACTTATTCAAAGGGGTTTCAATTCACTCTGTCAGTTTGTGAGTACAATGCAAATAGTGTATATATTTACATATATTTTTGTAATTTAGATCTGTTTACCTCACATGAAAGAAGATATTCAATTTTTGTCTCCCTCCATCTGACTTACTTCACTTAATATATTTTTTTCTATGTCAACCATTCATGTTTTTAAGGTAAAATATATGGCTTCAGGGAACGCAGTGCATTTTTTTTGGGGGGGAGGGTCAGTCCTGGGGCTTGAACTCTGGGCCTGGGCACTAGGTGTGAACAGTGCATATTCTTATTGGCCTGAGCATCCAGACTTTGTTCTACTTTTCTGACATTTTTGGTAGAAAAGTCTGAAGGCTATTATTTAAGCAATCACTACATCAAAATTATTCAAATTATTTATATAAACCATAAAATACTATCATATATTAAAGCTTCCCTTAATATAATTATGACCAGAATGGTGGGTGTGTATTTTCTGTGACAATTCACTTGACTGGCCTTCTATGAACCTGCCAACGGCTCAGTTATAATTTAGACATGTCATTGTTAACTAATATGTAATTTACTTATTTTTTAATAACCTCATGTTGAGCTCATGAAGAACATGCCTAGGTAACTGGAATTTTAATACAGCCAGTCTCTTTAAATTACACCTTTTCCTGTTGTTCCTGTTGCTTCATGTCATTTCAAAATAAAGCTTTCAAAGTTAGACTCAGGACTTCATGGTAGCTCTGAGATACCTTTTTGAAATTCAACTTATTTTCAATACAACATGAAGTCTTTAATAGGCTAAAGGCAAACCTTTGCCTTTCTGTTTCAATTATAATTTAATTTATATTTCTCTTCTTAATACAAAAATGGTATCCAATTCTCTTACCAAGAAAATCACAATGCTATCTAAGTAAAATCCTTAGGGAGCTCATATTTTCCTGTCAACAAGACTGATTTGCTACAAATAGAATTTTTTCAAATACTCAAGTAGGTCAAGAGTTCACAAATTCTGTTTGAGTTTAATCCATTGTAAAACAACATTCAATAAGATTTAGTCATTGGAATCTTGAATTATTCTTTCTTCATGATCCACTAATTTCGATTTTGAATTGAGTCAACACTCACTCCAAATGTATACCTGTGTCTTTAGTTTTCTTAATACTAAAGGCAGTGTATGTTATGTTTTATATTATTTGGGGAGAATGAATTTTTAACTGGTAATATATTTTTTTGTATAGGTTTGGGTATTTGAGAGTTCTTTTTTTGATTGTATCATTTTAGAATTTAGTATTGCTGAAATTTTAAAGTAGCATACCCAAGATAAATGTGGGCTGGAAGAAGTCTTTCATGGTGATAGCCCCTTGAGTATTCTCACCAAAGACCTGCAATTGTCCAGTCCTTTGACTGTTGCACAAGAGAGACAATGCAAATTCTACCAGTTCTGCTTTGCTTCTTTTTTGAAAACCTTATCAATAATAACATTACTATCTCTTTAAATAATTCCTTAGTCAAAGCTTAGCTATTACTCCAATATTTAAAAGGAATCTACTTATTTTTCCCTATTCATGTCTATCATTAACAATTCCATTTTTTTAAAAGTTGTATTTCTCAACTGTCAAAAATCATATCTGTCTCCTACTTAATGGCCACACATTTAAACTCTCAGCAATAATAAAAATCATGAGCTTTATTTCAACATCCTCCATGGAAGGAATCTTATTTATCTTCATTCTAAATGACAATTGTTTTCCCCAGTTGCTATTTGCCATTTGCAAATGTAAGCTTACAAATTACTTTATAGAAGTTGTTCTTTTGTAACCACATGAATATTCTCAGTCTTTCGGAAATAAATAGGCTTCTCTACAGGCAGCAAGAACCTAAAGTTCTTAATGCTCCAATCATTGATGTTTTGAAAATGCATTGCTCTCTATCCAAAGACATAACTTGAATTTATTAGTTGTTTGAATATGTTGAAAATGGTGAATACATTTGTATTTTTGTTTTTTTAGTTTATTCTTGATGTTTTTGTTGAAATAATAATTAATAAATTGCTCTCTCTCTCTCTTTTTTAATTTTTGTTTTTTGCTGTGTACTGGTTCTTGAAATCAGGCCTTCATACTCTTGTTTAGCTTTTTGGCTCAAGGTTGGCATTCTACCACTTGAGCCACTCTTACAATTGTGTTTCTTGGTTCATTAATTGGAGATAAGCTTCAGGGATGTTTCTGCTCAGTCTAGCTTCAAACCCATGACCTCAGATCTCAGCCTCCTGAGTAGCTAGGATAACAGTTTTAAGACAATGGCATCCGGCAAAAACAAAAACATGAGAAAGGAAAGACAGCATATTGAAAGATATAGGAATATTCCTGTTTATAAAATTTTTTCTCAGATTTTGCAGAAGCATTTTACCAGTTATTTAGCATTTTTCATATGTAGGACTACCTAACAACTCTAAGAACATAGTCTAACCTAGAATAAAATAACTTTTAGGCTAGTGATTTAGCTTAGTTATAGATAACTTACCAAAAATATGTCAGACCTTGGATTTGATCCCCCCACACCAAAAGAAAAGAGAAGATAAAATAAATCAGATGTGATGATGCATAATTCAGACAAACTAGACACTGTGGCAGGATCAGCACATTATAATCTACCATCATCTATGACATATGTAGTGAGACTCTGTCTCAAATACTAAATAAATATGCAAGTTGTCAGTAATTCACGCTTTTAATCCTAGGTAATTAGAAGCCTGAAAATTGCAAAATCATGATTTATAGCCAGCATGGAGAGAAAGCCCAGGAGATTCCATCTACAATTAGGTAGCAAAAAGCCAGACTGGAGGTGTGGCTCAAGTGGGGAAGTGCTATTTAGGAGTGAGAAAGCGGAATGAAAATGAGGCCCTGAGTACAAGTTCTGGTACTGGCAAAATAGGAAAATAGATGGTAGATAGGTAGATAGATAGATAGATACATGCATACATACATACATAGTATATACAAAATCACAATTTTAATAAAATAATCTCAAAAATGAATTTTTGTTATTTTTACCATAAATTAGAAGATGTCCATTTTTAAAAATCTCCTGATTTCACTATTTGCTAAACAAAATATTTGTGAAAATAGTATCAAAGAGCATGCTTTGAATTATAAACCATATATAGTTTTAAATGAATTAAAATGTCATATTACTTGTTCTTAATATCCTGCTGGAAACTAATATTAAATAGCACAAGAAAATATAGAGAAATATGTTTTCTATTTTCTAATGTTGTTAATGCTCTCTCTTTTTTTCTGTCTTAAAATGAAGGAGGAAATGTATGTAGAGCTGATGAATTCCTTTGCAATAATTCCCTTTGCAAACTGCAGTTCTGGGTGTGTGATGGAGAAGATGACTGTGGAGACAACTCTGATGAAGCCCCTGAGATGTGTGGTAAGTTGCTGTATGTTGCTCTAGAGTGTACTTCTATCTGTTTATCTAAAGTACCAGAGCGATCAATAGAGTATTAAACCAAACCACAAATTCTACTATCCAGACTTTGTAGATAAAATTCTATTTTATCTATCACAGAACAGCTTTTTTTCAAGGTAATGCACAGATTACTTTGTTCAAAGTTTATGACTTTATAGTAAGTGTCCTAAATCAAAACTAGCACATATCCTCACTATCCAAAAATAGATTACAAACTAGTTTGGAAGACTTAAAATAAGCTGATATTCTGAATTGAATAAGATACATACAAAATTATGATTTAATACTGAAATGAGGTTTTAACTGATAAATGGAAATAATATCAACAATAAGATAACAAATTCACATAGGTAATTCATCAAATTTTACTTTGTCTGAGGAATTATACATACATAAGTATAGATACATATATAAATAGAAATTTCATAGGTACACATATATATATATATGTGTTAATTTATATTATTTGAATAAAATTCAAAATTTTCTGTAGACAAAACTTATTTAATAGTAAATCTAAAAATCTTAAAAATAATTTTATCTCTGAAGTTTGTTAAGGGTGTATTTGTTCAATAAAATGTGTCATTTGAGAACAAAAAATATATGATTTCTCATACTTATATAAACTTCTTTGTAAGTCTTCATTCTTTTTGAATAATGTTGGCAAGGAATATGGTTATATTTTTAATTTTAAAAACAATGATAACTGCCAGCCAGATGCCAATGGCTCATACTTGTAATCCTAGTGACTCAGAAAGCTGAAATCTGAAGACTGTAGTGTGAAGTCTGCCCAGCCAGGAAAGTCCATGAGACTCTATCTCCAATTAACCACCAAAAAGGCCAAAAGTGTATCTGTGTCTTAAGTTAGTGATAGAGTGTTTGCCTTGAACAAAAAAGCTCAAAGACAGTACCTAGGTCTCGATTTTATGTCTCAGGTCTGTCACTACAAAAAAGATAATGTCACTTCATAATGTAGCATATGAAATGAATGAATGAAAACACAGCATGGAGATATATATATATATATATATATATATATATATATATATATATATATTCTATGCTTAAAATTAAGATAATATATATGATGGTCATTTGTCTACTGTTATCGTTGTAAAAATATAAAACAACATAGTAGCTCTTTTAAGATTTAAGAAGAAAGCCGGGTGCCGGTGGCTCATGCCCATAATCCTAGCTACTCAGGAGGCTGAGATCTGAGGATCGCGATTCAAAGCCATCCCGGTCAGAAGTCAGTGAGACTCTTATCTCCAATAAACCACTAGAAAACCAGAAATGGCACTGTGGCTCAAGCGGTAGAGCACTTGCCTTGAGCTGAAGAGCGCAGGGACAGCGCCCAAGCCCAGAGTTCAAGCCCTATGACTGACCAAAAAAAAAAAAAAAGAAGAAAAAGATAAAAGCATTGGTATTATTTTCTATTAATACAACTGATAAATTATGAGGCTAATTTTTGCATTATGTTGAACATCATCAAACATTATATTGTTCCTGTTCATAATATATTAAAATACATTTACCAATATCCATGTATAACCTTGTATATCCATGTATATCCATGTATATCCATGTATAAACCATGAATTTTCTAATCTATTCACTATTTCATCTGACCAGAAAGCCACTGGATGGATTAGGAATACTTGCAATTAATTACTGTATAAGATTCCATTTCCATACCGTTATGCATCCATTACTAGTATAGAAATTTATGTTCAGGAACTCTCCTCATGTCACAACTGATAAAGCTTGTAAGATCTCTCTGGTCATCCCTCTATTTCACTCAAGCATGGGTAATAAGAAACTAATAAAGTATTCTCTAAATAATGAACAAAAAAGAATAAACCAAACTATTCTGTGCCAGTTTCTGATAATCAACAAACAACCCATAGTTGTTGCGCTCGTATTTTGGTTTGGTAAATAAGGATAATTTCCATACATTTTTATCAAGCAATGAGATAATTAAACAAAGGGAGTAGATAACACACTTAATAAGGCAACTAACTTGGTCTTTGGAATCTAAGACAAATGGCAGCATATGAAAGGTATAAATCATTTGCTCAATAAATGTTTGGTAAACTAGAAGTTACTTTGTGATATAATGTTGAAGAAACAGGTTGCAGTTTGACTTCACAAGGTTTATGATGACAAAAGTTATTCAAATTATGATACATTTTATGAAGAAAAAATAATGAAAGTATCAATCTAGGGATTTATTTTCCATTTCAGGAAATGAGAAAAATACTTGTATTTTACTTAGAGTAGAGTGACATATAACTGGAAAATATGCCAGAGGAATTTTAGAGTATGACACAGTATTTTAGAAAAAGAAAAAGGCAGAGCAAGCCATGGCTTAATGCGAATATAGGAGGGTATTTTTACTTGTACATTTGAATGGAAGGAGAATTTAGGGGAAGTAAGTTGTGTAAGTATAGAGTGCTGACTGTCTGAGAAGGTATTTAGGAGACTTTCAAGTAAAGATATCAGTCAGACCTTGTCAATTTGGTTCATGACCTTAAAGAAAAGAAATGATTTATAATATCAATTTGATAATAAGAATAAATATGGTGCCATGTCATATGGAGTTTTAAGGTTTATAAAAGATGGAAGTAAATCATAAAAGGAGTTTATGAAAGGCTATTGAGAATCATTAATATCATGAATATGAGCTGTCAGAAGAAAATCAGACAGAGGATAACAAAATAATTAGCTTACAAAGTAAAAGGGAGATTTAAAGTAGTTGTGAACAAAGACTCCAAGGCAAAAAATATTTCAAAAAAGAAGAGTTGATGCCAGAGGAGACAGAAGAATAAGTTTCAGACCAAGTAGAAAAACTACTTCAGAATGTGAGTTAGTAATTCTCTTCCTTTAACAAAAAATAGTGAGACATGCATGGAGCTAGTGGCTCTTTCCACTGACCCTAGCTAGGTAGGAGGCTGAGATCTGGGGATTGCTGTTCAAAGCCAGGCTAGGCAAGAGTGTTCTCAAGATTGGCTCTTAACTGCTATTAACTACTATAAAGCCAGAAGTGGACCTGTGACTTAAATGGTAGAAAACCAACCTTGAATGGAGAATCATAGGGACTGTGTCTGGGCCCTGAGTTCAAGTACCAGGACTAGGGCACACACACACACACACACACACACACACACACACACACACACACACACACAAAATGAGACAAGTTGATAGATGATATATAGGTATGTTTATTTGAGAATTCTTAATACTTTTAGAAAATTTCCATGTTTTGCATTTCCATTGGGTGTTCAATAGGAAAACTGTTCACATAAAGAGGGCTAAAGTGTGGTTTGGGGAGGTTTAGAAAGGATACATATATGAATACCTATGGCAGGAGGTAGGGGACGTGATTAAGCTCTCCAAGTAACACTAATGACTAATCCTACTGGGTGACCCTGATGGGGTTTGCAGCTTGCTCATCTCGGAATTTCCAGTTACAGATGTTGGGAGGGAAGATGGTTTCTATCCATCTAAGTTTAGAGTTTTATTAGACAAACAAAAATGAAAAAGAGAAAGGGAAAAATCAGCTTACTGGAAAGAATATAGGTTTCTAGAAGAGTACTAAAGGAGTATTCAGTGTGGTGTAGGCTAATAAATACCATCAGAAATGAAAATAAAGACAAAAAGTAAAGAGTAAAATAGTGGACATAGTAATAGACTAGTGTTCAAGATAAAATGGAAGGACACTTATAAAGAGACTTGTTAAATTACAATCTTGAAACAGAGGTTTGGTGAAAATTTGAGAATTTTTTGGAAAATGGTAAAAACAGGCTGCAGTCATGTGCATTGGTTAATGTTTGTATGTGCACAAAACAGAACTCTTGTTGGCTGTATCATGAAGATAATTCTATTTTAAATCTCCAATGCCCACAACCTTTTTGGAAAGTAGAAGTATAGGTAGATTAATCCAACAGAAATTTAATTATAAGTAATTCAAGGAGACAAGAATGGCAGATATTTTTTGATGTGCTTATGTAAATACTGATGTAATCTAGGATGCTGGAATGAATTTGAATGCAGAGAACTGTGTTGGAATACAGGTATGATAAACTATCCAGACTCTAAAATAATAATATTTGTTTACATTTCATTTTCAAAATGCAATGTACACATAAGATGGAATGTGGACATATGTCAATAATGTTCTAAAAGTTTTTTTGTCAGAATCTTAATTATCTTCAAACACAAAATAAGATGAGGTTGAAGCAAATAAATAAACACATATTTATCTATAAAAAACCAAAAAGGGAAGGAGTACACTAGGAAAAAGAATGAGGTTTCAGTTAAATGAATATGGTTAGGCAAAAAGTGTGGTATGTTTAAAGGAACTGTTATATAGTACATTACAAAGATGATTGATTAAAAGTTATCAGTGTGTAGAAGCAGTAAGGAAAAGCTAATGAAAAGTCTATAAGCATCTCTGAAGTGTCCCAAATTATATATTAAAGGTTACAGATTGCTGTCAATATGATGTGTGTTAAATTGATTTTTTTTATGTGTGTGTCTTTTTGAAGATCATTGTGGAGAACAAGTATGCTAAGATTTAAAAAATAAAAGCAGGCCAGGTGGCGGTGTCTCATGCCTGTAATCCTAGCTACTCAGGAGGCTGAGATATGAGGATTGCAGTACAAAGCCAGCCCAGACAGGAAAGAAAACTGAAAGTGGCTCTGTGTCTCAAGTGGTAGAGCACTAGCCTTGAGCCGAAGAGCTGAGGGACAACACTTAGGTCCAGATTTCAAGCACCATGATTGACAAAAAAAAAAAAAAAAAGAGTGGAAGTATTATGGTTATAACAGAAGTGAGTGTAGTATGATATCAAGGGAACAATAAGGAAGAATTTAAAACAATTATTTGTTTTCTTCTTCGAAAGTGTCATTAACTGAACTAAAGAAATGATATTAATTTCATGTTTAGGAAGAAAAGATCAGACAGAAATCATAAAGGATTGAACGGCGTATTTTTTGAACTTGAATTTCCTCAGAATATGTTTTACAATTCAATCTGTTATTTCAGAACTAAATCAAGACTGAAAACTCTTCAAGATATAGTAGCTTATAAATAAATTACTACATATGAGACGAAGTGTGTGTGTGTGTGTGTGTGTGTGTGTATCCACTAGGAACAGAGTTTTCTACATGTAAAGATAAATAAATATTGTACTTGCTTTGGAGGTGAAGGTTGCAGAAGAGATGATAGGAGGGAATATACACATATATATATAGTGAATAAATATTATTAGATTATATTATGCAATTATATAAATACATTATTATAAATGTTCATTATATAAGCAGTAGTATAGATATTATTAAATAACAATTAGTATAAATATAAAAGTAGTATAAATATTTTTATGATTGATATATATATATATATATATATATATATTATGTTTTGTTTTGTTTTTTGGTTCATTGTGAGGCCTGAACTCTGGGCCTGGGCACTGTTCCTCAGCTCTTCAGCTCAAGGCTAGTGCTTGCCACTTGAGCCACAGTGCTACTTCGGCTTTTTTTTTTGCTTATATGGTGCTGAGGAATCAAACCCAGGGCTTCATGCATGCAAGGCAAGCACTCTACTACTGAACCATCTTCCCAGCCCACATATATATATATATATTCTTTTAAACAGATTATAAGGACCCAGACACCATATTGTTGGATGATTTTTTTCCCACTAAATGGACTATTTTCAATGTGAGGTCTGAAATATGTGCTTGTTCAGGCTCTGTGCTCTGAAATTATTCATTGAGATAGCTAAGTGTCTTGTTGCCATGTTGTACAATTTGATACATCAAGAAAATCAGCTAACATAAAGCATCTGGAAATGAAAACAAAACATTTTCCTTCCTTCCTTCCTCTCTTCCTTCCTTCCTTCCTTCTTTCCATTCAGCTGTGCTCCTTTCTGCTGTTCATATGGATAACTTGATTCATACGTTTCTTTTATCACATTTTCTAGTATGCACAAGTAGGCATTTTTCACAATAAAAGTTTATTTATAGTAGCTAAATTATTAATTTGAAAAAAGACAAAATGTATTCTTTGTAAGTCTTTACATGCAAAGGAGCTGCCTCTGTTTTGTTCTGTGTTTTATTTTTTTTTCTTTTCTTCCAGTCAAATTTCTTTGCCCACCCACAAGACCTCACAGATGTGGAAACAATAGAATTTGCTTGCAATCTGAGAAAATGTGCAATGGGATTGATGACTGTGGGGACAACTCAGATGAAGATCACTGCAGTGGTAAATCTGTTTAATGAGAAATAATTAATTTGGTAGCAAATGTAAAACGGGAGAATGATCTGAGAGATTAAAGTGATAGGAAAATTTCCATCTGGCATATCTGAATATATTGCTTTCAGGCACTTGATCTTCTGACAGTGTATGAAAATAACCTAATATTTCCTTTGCACAGCAGAGGACTGTGGATTTAGCCAGAATCCCTATGAAAGAACTTTTTTCAGAATATGCTAATATCATAAACAAAACAACTTAGTTTAAATAGTTTTGAAATAGTTGACAGAGGACAGTGGACTTACATAGATTGCATGTACACACAATCCCATTTCCAAAATTCATAAGTTTGAAAACTCCTAATCTAAAGGTTTAAGGTAACATTTTACAAAACCATTTGGAGATGAAACCTAACCTGAACTCCTTTGTGTCTGTTTCTATCATTTCGAAAACATCCCCTCTTATGTGCCATTGTTTAAAAAAACAGAAAAATACTTTTATGAACATGCTAAAATTCAGCTCCAATTTTTCACTTAGTTCCAGTGCTTATAGAAAGCTTCACAGTCTCAAGCTGTCCATAGCATGTAGTAAAATCTTGAACATACAATTTGCTACATACATTAGTTTTGACTCTGTAACATAATTACCACATTTTTCAATTGAATTGGTAGGTAAGCTTGTGTCTAAGGCAAGGCCCTGTGGGAAGGATGAGTTTGCTTGCAATAACAAGAAGTGTATCTCCATGGACTTGCAGTGTGACAGGCTTGATGACTGCGGAGATGGTTCTGATGAGCAGGGCTGCAAAATGAGTGAGTCTGTTAAACAAATATGGGTGCATACCACCCCCCTTTGACACTTCTGTGTGGCGAAACTTATATTGCTTCGGGAACGTTCGCTTTCTGTTGTTGTTGTTGTTGTTGTGGGACTTGAACTCTTGGCCTGGGTGCTGTCCTGAGCTCCTCGGCTCAAGGAGAGCGCTGAGCCACTTCCGGTTTTCTGGTGTTTAATTGAGGACAAGTGTTTCACGGACTTTCTGGCCTGGGCTGGCTTTGAACTGAACCGGGATCCTCAAATCTCAACCTCCTGAGTAGCTAGGATTACAGGCATGAGCCACTGGTGCCCAGCTTGCTCTTTTTAAAAGAGGCTTAATTTTGCTCTTTACCAAAGCAACCTGCCTAGAGTATCCCTTTAAATTCAGAAAACATGAAGTGGAAGAGGTTGACTTCGTAATGAATTTCCTTGTTAGAGCTGCAGAGGAACACGTGATATTTAAATTTGGGATTTAATAACAAAAACTATTCTTTATCCCTTAGTATGCTACTTAAACAAGTATAGAGTTAATATTTTTGAGTTTTGCAAACAGAGAGTGATGCTTGGTTGAATTATGGCAAAGGGCTTAATAATTTATTCATTGCTGAAAACTTTTAATCCACTGCTATTTAAAACTATTTCATTTTCTTTCTTTTTTTAAATAAGTTTTTTATTGTGAAAATACTGTACAAAGGGGTTACATGCACAAGGTATTGAGTACATTTCTTATCAAGCATTGTTGCCTCCACCTTTGTTTTTCCCCTACCATCCCTTCTTTCCCATCTCCACACTACCCTTTTTTTTTTTAGCATGCTGTGATACTTATTAGAAATTATGTGATATAATTTTGTGTTTAATGCTTGGCACTTGATATTCTGCATTCAGGAATTTCAAACATTTATGACTAAATTCAGAAATCTAGGAATGTCACAACACACTTCCTATTTTGAATATTTACTTTTTTCACAATTTTGCATCTGAGTTATTGTTCACTAAATAACAAATACCATCCAAACACAGACATGTGCACCTATTTACGAATTGGTGAGAATTAATAATAGTTACAATTCTAATAATTACAGTTCTCATTTCTCAAAAAATTAGATTTGTTCAAATAATTTGGAGGTAATTAAATGGTATCTCTTTAATTATATCACTTTCATATATTGGAGCTCTAAAATGTTTTCCTGAATGGAAGATAAAACAAGGAAATTAAGTATTTTTTCTGGAAATGACAAATAGCTCTTTCATATTCTCTCTTTACATCATTGCAACCCATGAACCTGGGAGCATTTTGTACACTCAAATGTGACTTCTCATGTGTATCCAAAGCTAAACATTTTAACAAACTGCTAATTTAGACTGTTAGTTTGATTAATGTGGGAGTCCCTTTGATTAAATTCACTAGTGTATGTATGTAGGTTAACACTGAATGTACACATCTCTAAGTAGCTCCTAAAAAAGTTGTACTTATAAATGAATCCATTGTAAAGATAGCCTATCATTGGAATCACAGACTCAGTCCTTTCTTTTACAATGATAAGGGCCTGATAACACCTGTTAGTATATCAGCTGTCAGTAGCTTGTTGCAAATTATATTTAATGTTAATGAGTTTATTTTACCTTTACTTCTATACATTTACACAAAATAAAGGCTTAAAAGTATTTATAAAAATAATTATCCATGTGATAATTAAATATGATTCCAAATTAAAAATAAAACCTCCATTTCAGGACTCTGACTTATATGAGTTTTGATCATATTTTTAAATCCTAGCTCCCAGTGAATACACCTGTGAAGATAATGTGAAGCCATGTGGGGATGATGCATATTGTCATCAAATAAAAACATCTGTTTTCTGTCGCTGTAAGCCTGGATTTCAGAGAAACATGAAAAACAGACAGTGTGAAGGTACAGCACATTTCCTCAACAGCTTGCTCTTAAATCTTTGGGTTATAAAGGACTCCCAAGGCTGCTAAATTGCAAGATGACAGGGGATTGATTTTCATCAAAATGCTGTGTATCTGTGGGATACCTTTCACTTAAGAGAGGGAGAGTCTCTGGGGTCAAGAGCCTGTTTGTTTGCACAGCTAAGCTAACCTCTCTAATACTACAAAGCACTTTTTCTGTAGCAAATTCAGACCTGCAGGAATTTCAATTGTGCTCTGAAAGTTCTGTTTTGAAATGCAAATAACAAAATTGCTGCTTCAGGAACTATTGGAGAATTAGACTCACTTCATGAAAGAATATATTTATAGTGCCCTATTTCTCTTGTGTGTGGCATTTCCAATGCTCTAACAGCTAATTAACACTTAGAAAATTATGAGCTTCTGTCCCAACACTATGTTTTAAATAATCCTTTGTAACACAATGTGTATGTGTGTGTGTGTGTGTGTGTGTGTGTGTGTGTGTGAATGTTTAAATTCAAAGTCAGTATGCTTGTGAATTTCTTTCAAAATGCTCAGTGAAGGATGGACAGAATCTCATATTTGTTTCATATATGTCAGTATGTTTTATATCTGTGGCTTAACTATAGACCCACAAATGATAGTGCTAAATATATGTCCTTCAAATTCCCCACATAAAATGGATATTTATATTTATATATTATTGTGTTTAAAGCTGAATCCAAACTATTTGTCTGGCTTATTTATGCTAAATATAGGCACTTGTATCTATATTATTTCTTTCTGATACTCTTCAGTTAGAAAATTACATGTGACCAGGTGCCAGTGAGCTCCTGCATATTATCCTAGCTAATCAGGAAGTTGAGATCTGAGGATCATGATTGGAAGACAGCCCAGCAAAGAAAGCTACAACACCCCACCTAAGTATGCAAAAAGCCAAAAGTTCAGCTGTGATTAAGTGGTAGAGCACTAACATTGATCAAAATAACTCAGGGACAGTACCCAGGTCTGAGTTCAAGCCTTAGGATGTGCTCGCATGAATAAAAATACTACATTGTGGCCAGGCATTAGTGGCTCAAGCCTGTAAACCTAATCAAGGGACTGATAGATCTAAGGATCACAACCAGTACCTGGGAGAGGTAAGAAAGTTCATGAAACTCTTATCTTCAATTAACTAGCAAAAAGCTGGAAGTGGAGCAATGGTTCAAGTTAGAGTGATATCTTTGTGCAAAATGTGCTTAGGAACATTGTCCAAGCTCTGAATTCAGTCACATACAACACACACACACACACACACACACACACACACACCCATACACACCCATACCCACACACACACACACAATTACAGTGTGTCAGTGTAAAACAATATAAATTATACTCAAAAGAGAATAATATATAGTCAGGTATTTATAAACATATTGAGTTAAATGCTCATTGATTAGTCATAACATTTCTCCACTTCCTATGCAACACAGAAAGCTCATAACCTATGTTATCTCTCTAAAGGAAAGACAAATGATTTTCTCATGGCTTTCCTATTAATTGTATTTAAATGCACAGGTGTATGCACACACATTCAAGATTTTTATTTCTGATAGCATTAGTTTCCTAATATTTATTTGGAGTCTGCTGTATGCTAGAGATTTACTAGATTCAGAATTTCTATTCTCAATATTTTTGTGATTATTATATTCCATGAAAAATACAACTACAAATTACATTGTTCATTCGAAATAGCTTTGAATGCAGATTGAAATACTTCTGTCTTGCATATGAACAACTTATCAACTCTAATTAAATTTACATTTATGACAGGTGATAGAAAAGGCAATTTTGATTTAGTGTAGAAATTGGGAAAGATATCACTTAGACTTTGTAGCCCAAGTTGTCAGTGGCTTTATCTAAAAATTTAAAAAAAGTCAATAAAGAAATAACTTAAGTGGAGAAATACTGAAAAATGAATGCCAAAGACTGTGCACACCTGGTTCATGCCTGAGGCTGAGAATGGAATGAGCAGGAGCATGGTCCCAGTTCAACCTAGGCCCGAAAAGTCCTTTACAGTTTATTTTCTTGGAAGTAAGTTGAAAGCAGTGACAGGTGCTCTCATCTCAACAATTACAGGAAGCCCAAATTAGGAAGATCATTCATTGTCAAGGAATATATGGGCCAAGATGTGAGATCCTATCTCAAAAATAATAGCTGGCAAAAGATAAGACTAGAGGCCTGTCTCATTGTTAAGAGGACCTGCCTCTCAAATGGGAGACTCTTAGTATCACCCTACTTCAAACAACAATAGAAAGAATGTCAAGAAGAAAATTCAAGAGACATTTTCAGTTTCTAAATGCCAGACACTGTTCCAATTGTTAGGCATATGTGGAATAGCTACTCCTCTTCATAAGCTATTATCTAGGCTATCACCGAGGCCTCATTCTATAGAAGAGGACAAAGCGAAGATATTGCCTGTTAGAGGGACACGTGAGGCACTTGCATTCTTTTTGAACTATGTATTTGATGTATACCAAAGGTAAACCATAGTGGCAAATAGGCACCTGTTCAAAGTTACAGGTACTAAAAAAATATTATAATTATACATCACTTTTGAAATAATAGTCTGCACTAGAGATAACTACGAAAAGGTTACTCTATTGTTTAATTTTCTTTTTGACAATAGAGTCAGAAAAGCCTGGAGTTTTGACTTAGGTGGTCAATGGGAGGATCCCTAACTCTAGCATTAAAAAGTTAGAACATTATTGAGTGCATTTGTTGTTGTTGTTGTTGTTGCTTTTGTTTACACTTTTGGTGGTACTGTAGCTGAAGCAGACTGGCAATCTGACAGTGGTACCATATTGCAAGCCTTTTGTTGTTGTTGTTGTTGTTGTTTTTGGGTCTAGTCATGGGGCCTGGGCGCTGTCCCTCAGCTCTTCAGCTCAAGGCTAGCACTCTACCACTTGAGCCACAGCACCACTTCTGGCTTTTTTCTTTAGGAATCTAACCCAGGACCTCATGCTTGCAAGGCAAGTACTCTACCACTGAGCCAACTTCCCAGCCCTTGTTGTTGTTTTTGTTGTCAATTATTTTCTGATAAGATCATACACTTTCCATGGTTTGGCCTGTGGACTGTGATCCTCTTACCTATGTCTTCCAAATAGCTGGTCTTGAAGGTTTAAAACATCAGCAAAGGTTGCTGGCTTAGATAGGGCCTTACATATTTTCCTGGCTAGCCTTTGAGTACTGATCTTTCTTATGTCAGTCTCTGGAGCTGATCACAATACAAGTAACAATCACTGGAACAAGCCTTGTGTGTTGAAGGGGAAATAGCCCTATTAGTGTGTTGATCCTAAAATTCTCTAGTTTGAAGCAAAGATTTATCTCACAAATTTCTCCCATAATTAGGACAATATAAGTGATGATAGATCAAAGCAAACTAGAGTAAGAAAGAAAAAAGTAATTCACTTTATTAACTGATCTTAATCTTGCTCTGCTTTTAAACCCTTAAAAATAGAGGCATGTACAAAGCTACCAAATACTGCCCCTGACTTATGATTTAGATGTCTTTAACTATAGATGGTTTAAGGATTTTTGCCGAGTTCATGTAACCTCATTTAAACCTTTATTCTTAAGTAGTATGACAGTGTAAATCTATGTCTTCGTATTCTGCCAGTATATAGAATGTGGTGATAAAAATGTACCCATTTTGCCAGTCACTGGTGCTTTGTATCCATAATCTATCTACTCAGTTCTGAGATCTGAGGATTGAAACTGTAAGCTATCTTAATTAGAAAAACCCATAAGACTTTCATTTTCAAAAAAAAGCAGGAATATAGGTATGGCTGAAGTTGTAGAGCACTAGCCTTGGGAAAACACCTCAGGAACAGCATCCAAGCCCTGATGTTAAGTCCCAAATTAGGTACATTCCCCCTCCCTCCCACACACACATGCACACACTCACACACAGATGCATACCCAGAGAACCCAGTGTAATTTATGGATTCAAGGGCTACCCATAGAGGAGAGAGGATAATATTATAGAGTAATATTCTAAGAGAAAAGCAGCAGGAGAGTTAATAGGGGACAGGAGAAAGGAAGGGTCATCACTCTCACACATTGGTGGAGACCAAGGAAAGCTACACTCTGGTGCATCTTGATAGATGATTAGAAATCTTGTATGTAAATGCATGCAAGGACATTATATGACTAGGGACTAGCAGAGGACATACACGAAGATAGGAAGGCAGATAATCAGAATGATTCAATGAAGTAGTTGGGATGTTTGGAATGCATATTTTAAGACATTAAGTGGAATAAGCAGCAAACCCGAAATAATAAATTCTATACTTAGGCCATTGTGGGAAAAAAAAAAAAAAAAAACATCATTACCCAGAAAACAGCACAGGAAGACACAGGCTGGAAATTTGAGAGAGAATTAAAAAACATATAGGAATAAAAGTTAAAGGATAAATTCTGAAAGTGGAAGAAAAGGTGAAATCATGGTGATGCTATATTGAACTCTTCTTTTCTAGACCTGAATGAATGTTTGGTGTTTGGCACATGTGCCCATCAGTGTATAAATATGGAAGGTTCATACAAATGTGTGTGTGATCAGAATTTTCAGGAAATAAATAATACCTGCATAGCCAAAGGTAAGGCTATAACCATTATTACAAATTAGATGAAGGAGTAAAAATGTTTTGTATTGTCTTCTAACAATAGTATCATTGCTGATCATTTAAAATATATTTAATTTCATATTAAATATAGCAATATATAGAACACACATAAAATATGTATATTTTAATGGGATGAGTTAAACTTTTAATTAAAATTTAATTGATGTATAATCAAATGTATTTATTGGGCATAGTGAGATCATTTGTTACATGTGTACAATGATTAATATTTTCCAACTTTATAAACATTTATTTCTTGTTTGGGTTGGGAGACCTCAAACTCTCTTCTCAATTCTTCATAAAAGAAAGTCTTTTACTTTGCATTTGAAATAATTTGTAGGAAAGGTTACCAGTTTAAAAGATAGTATAATAATTTAAATAAGAAGCGCTTTTATATGATCTGCTTTCAGTATATTTAAGAAATTATAATGTCATTGGGAAAAAAGTACAACAAAAATTATCATCATACATTGAACAGAGTTTATGTAGGGATTTTAAAAGATTTAAGATAAAATCTAAATAATTAACTGAAGAATGAAAGGATGATGTTTACCAAGGTGCATTTTATTCATAAACTTCTTTGTTGAACAGCAACTCCTTTGTACAACTACTTAAAGATAACTTAAAAAATTAAAGACACAGGGGCTGGGAAGGTGCTCAGTGGTAGAGTGCTTGCCTTGCATGGTTGAGGCCCTGGGTTCGATTCCTCAGCACCACATAAGCAAAAAAGAAAAAAGCTGGAAGTGGCACTGTGGCTCAAGTGGTAGAGCGCTAGCCTTGAGCTGAAGAGCTGAGGGACAGCGCCCAGGCCCAGAGTTCAGGCCCCACGACTGGACCCAAAAAAAAAAAAATTAAAGACACAGTTTTAGTCCAAAATAAGTCACTTGATTAAATAAACTAAATGCTCAGAGACTTTTGAAGTTTAATGATCACTCAGGATGCTCCCATAATATTGAGAATCAACCCATGGAATCACATGTACTCTTGTACAGTATTCCTCCATCATAAGAACATCTTTCTCAAAAACCTGATTTCTGCTCACAAAGGTAGCTTTACTGTAATAAAATCTAAGTAAATAATCATGATAAATTTTGAGGACAGTATCATAAATCAAAAGTCATATAGACTAATATATGAGGTGAAATTCAACGGTTATTATTACAGAAGAAACTGTGCAAAATAACAAGTCAAAATTATTTTAAAGTATATTATTGCTTTAACTTTAGTTGAAATTTACTTTATTTTTGTATTTTATTATAATAATCTCCAGGCTCTGAAGATCAAGTTCTCTACATTGCTAATGACACTGATATCCTGGGTTTTATATATCCATTCAACTACAGTGGCGATCATCAACAAATTTCTCATATTGAACATAATTCAAGGATAACAGGAATGGATGTATATCATCAAAGAAATATGATTATTTGGAGTACTCAGTTTAATCCAGGCGGAATTTTTTACAAAAGGATCCATGACAGAGAAAAGAGACAAACCAACAGTGGACTGATTGTAAGTAAATCACACTTAATGTTTGATAGACAATCCTTGCTTTTCAAAGATCATAACAAGCCCAGAATCTCTGATTCATACCTCAAACTCTAGCTACTCAGGAGGCTGAGATTTGAGGATCTGGATTTGAAGTTTGTGAGACTGTTATTGCCAGTAAATTACTCAGAAAAAGGCAGATGTGGTGTGGCTCAAGTGATAGAGTGCTAGCCTTGAGCACAAAGAGGCTCAGGAACAGGACCTAGGACCTGAGTTCAAAACCAATGATGGGGGGAAAAAAACATAATATCTTTTTAGAGGAAGGTTGATTAATTTTCATTTATCCCTTTGCACAAACAGTAGGAAAAATATAATAAAAACAATTTAAAAGATTTCATTTTAAAGAGAAGAATACATGTGGAGCCACAGCCAATATCCTAGAAATTGACATTTAATTATCACTTCTGATTTTTTCTTATATAGAAATGTTTTTCGTCCCCTGTTCTAAAACTTAGACTGACATCTAGCCTTGACAATCAGAGTATGTTTTATTTTCCTGAGGGGAGAATAACTTATAATGCTGTTTAGTTTTGTACAATTGGTGTGCTGGTAAATTTTTAAACTGTGTGCTAACTGCAATAAATTATATGAACTGATGGAAAAAATGTTCTTCCTATTTAGTTATTTTATAGAAGCGTATGAAATGAATTAGCTGAATGATTTTGTTTTTTCATTTGCATAAGTTTAATGAGTGATATCTTACATTTCCTTAACATAGTATAATATATGCTCCATACATATTCCAACATAACATAAGGATGTAAATATTACTTTTTATGATATAAGGTAATAATATCAGAAATACACTTCTAAGAAAAGAAGTACATTATAGTGTAATTATTTCTTCCTTTCCTGATAACTATATTTGGGCAACATCTAAGCAGAGTGATATTTCCTTCCAGGTCTGTGATGGACATGTTGATTATCATGGTTATACTTTTTGAGAAAAGTAAACTAGAACATTTGTTTAGTTTTGTGTTGTAGACTCTCAGTGTTTGTCTCAGGGCAATGTTATCTTATATTTTGAGTTTTGAAGTAACCTGGGAAGAAAATGACAGATATTTACTTTTAGCACTCTGACATGTAACCACAAAATCACAAAGTCAAATGTGCCCACAGCAGGATGTAACTGAAAGTTTATATTTAACATGAATTAAAGGCACCTGTCTGGAAGTCCTCACTGTTTTTTACATAAAGATATAAACTACAAAAATACCATCTGATGCAAATACTCAGCATATTTTAATTTTGTCCCTAAGCTGGTTTATAAAGAAGCTAAGGGGCTAGGAAGGAACAGGAACAAAAATAGCTATTCAATAGGGCTTAGGGTAGATTAACTGTTAGTAAAAATTCATATATACATGAAGAGCTTCTTCAAATTTTCTGTCCCAAGACAATGTTGCATAATAATTTTACTTCTATTCAGACTTTTTCCAGGATGGACTCAAGAAATTTAGATCATCTGTCTTCTTCCCTCACAATGAATCTCTGTCCTTCATACCAGACCAAAAGAAAAATACATGGGTATAGTCAGAATTAATTTAATCACTAAAACAGAAGTATATTTTCATAAACACTGTGCCTATATCACAGTTTCATTTGTTATTAATGTAATAAAGAAAATACATTGTGGATTTTAGGCTATGGATTCATGATAAATTTTGTTCCAATAACTTAGTATGCTATAAACTATTTTAGGAAGTTTTATTGAAGGCATACATGTGTACAAATTTATATAAAATAAAAATGTATATATAGATACATATAGAGATAGATAGACAGATAGATGGTAGACAGATAGGTGGGTAGATAGATATTCAACTTTTCTTGGTATACAAGTACATATCATATGGATTTTGCTCTTGACTGTACAATGTAAACTTTAGAACAATTGATTGAGGTATATATAACATCTTACTCATAGTCCCATTCTTATTCATATAAGTAATCATTATATGAAAAGTATATAATATTACGAAATTTCCTCTTCTGGATAATACTACCTGAACCATTTGGCTTTTTTAATCTGAAATCCATGTTTTTGATACAGAATCAATTTTCTACCCTTATGAAATGAGTTACTCTATCATCCATGTAAAATGTATGTTTAGTATCACCAGGTAGGCACCAATTAGTATATTGATCATGAACTCTACTTGTCTTTTTTTAATGGTACTGGGATTTGAACTTGGGTTTCTGGAATTACTTGCAGGTGCTCTACCCCTTGCATTTTTGTATGACTATGGCATGAAATGTAAACCTCCTACCTAAGGACTCTTTCATACCTGAGGACAAAGATGCACTTTAGCAAACTTAGCTTATCGATAGGGTCTCATTAATATTTTACCTGAGCTGATCTTAAGCCAGCTTTGATTTCTAGCCCCCTGAGTGTCTGGAATTTTTCTAGGCAGGTTGTAGTATAATTGGTTTCTGAATCAATAAGCAAAGGAGAGGAAAACACATAAAAAATAGGCAAATTGTGAACTATGATCAGTGATTTAGAATGAAAGGGCTAGTTAGGTTACAACAATATCCACATGCATATTCTCATTTATTGAATAGATTATAATATTGCCATCCAAGTAAAGGGCAAGAAACATGTTGTACTAGAAACAAGAAATATATTACTCAGAAAATTAAATGTTAAATAAAATCCATACCAAAGATGTAATTTTTAATATGTTCTTTTTCCTTTGAAAATTTTGAAGAGAATATTCTTCTGTAATCTGTGAATATTCTTGGAACACTAATTATGATTACAAATTTAAAATTCAAATGTAGTCTAAGTTATTTACAGTTGGAAATGCTTATGATATCTCTAAACCCCTAGGCTATATAAAATTGGATGATTTTTTTTATCCCTTAAGACAATTAAATTATTTAAAGATTAAGAGACTGGCATGATCCAATCTATACATAAAAAAGCATAATCAGATTTTGCATTAACTTTTAGTAGTTGGAATATGATAATCTTCTGCAACAAAAGAACATATTTGGGGCAGTATATAATTTATCGTAAGAAAAGTTACACAAGAAAAGTTTATAATTGTAAGTCCTAACATGTAGGTCAATGCTTGGAAGAATCCAAATAGTAATAAAATTGCATATTAACTTATTATCAGTACAGAACTAAACATTTCTTAGAAAACAAATGTTCAGATTCTCTTGACATGTTTGTTTTGAGAAATGGATAACATTTTGGTATGCTGTTATTTATGCAAAAAAGAATCTTCAAAATGTCCACACTTAATAATTCATTCATTATTAATCGTATCTTCTAAAAACTGATTAGGCTATTTTTTCCTGGAAAGCTTTCAGCAAAAGGTCATTTTGTTATCTTAATATGTTTTGATTTTTAATTGAAATACAATTGGTAATTCCTACACTCAACATATGATATATGATAACATATAAAATATTGTGGAACATTTGAAGATGAAGTAGCATCGACTTATTCCATCATAATAAAAGTTATATTTAAATAATGGTACAAACATATGCACACACAAATACATGAATGCTTTTATTTAGGATGTATACTGCATAAGGGCATGTGCTTTTGCTTCATAGAGGATTCATTTTTTGTGTTGTGATAGGATTATATTTTCCTTCAGTTTTTTTAATAGCTCACATTATTTACAATAATCTCTAACACATGTAATACTTTCAATTTGTTATTTTGCATATGCTTTTGCTTTTGTTTTTCACATTTAAAATTTTTATCTATATGAATTGACATGTATACATGAATAGGGATTTAATGTCTACCCTCTGTATTATTAAATAATCTGTAATTTCTACAGTGATTGAGGGGGCACTCCTAATTCTCTATAGCATTTAAGCCATTAAAATAATTGGGTGTAGGTAAAGTCTCATTTATATTCAGTTTACCTTTTTCTGGATCAACACACAGTTAAGATATGTTGAACATTTATCAAAATATTATAGAATATTTTATAATAAAGCAATCCCAATCACATTTCTTCATTTTTTCCTAGTTTCTTATACTTTTTTGCATGTTTTATTTTCAAGTGTTTCATACAGTATAATTAGGAAAATTAAAACAATGGCTTATATTCAGGCTTGTGTTACAGTGATAAATTAACTTGCGAGAAGTAACGGCTATGATGGAATTGTTATGACAAATTTCCCATTAACAAACTGTTCTTGTGTTCTAACCATTACAGAATATCATATGTTATCAGGTTTATCTGAACAATAAGTCCTTTTTAGAACTGTAATTTTAAAAAATTACATGTTTTTCTATCACAGAAGTTTAATTTTAGTGACACAATTTTTGTTATTTTCAGTTACTAGCTAAAAGTAAATTATGGGTTACATTTCTTCCCAAACCTTAGAGAATGAGGTTGTCACATTTACAGTTGAAAGAAAAAGAATACTATGTAAGATAATGAATTTATAAATATTGCATGATGATTATATAGATATTCATGGCCTGGACTGATGATTTTCAGTTTGTGTGCTTCCGTTTGAGTGTTATTCTGGTATTTTTCTCACCTTAGTTCCAATATTTAATATGGTTTGAAAATTGGTAATTTATTATACATCTAACAATAAATTGAAAATGTATGAATTTTGTAGCGTTTCTATTAAAATGAATACATATGATCATTTTTAATTTCCCATTGGGTTTAATCATATCATTTTATTTTAATAAAGACTTCAAGCATGGTAGCTATTATTTTGTTTCCCCTTCTATTTTCCTTTTCATTCCTGGTTTCTGATTCTATTTCTTTCTTCATATGTATGTCATCTACTTTCTCACTATATAGCCTAGGCTGTCCTTGAATTTGACAGTCCTCCTGCCTTAATTCCTAGGATTACAGGCATGTGCATTCTATTTTACCTACCTTTGAAAACAATTTTTGAAATGAAGAAAATTGTAGCACTTATATTCTAGTTGAACACTGAATAAAAATCAGAACAATAAGACTAGAGCATCT